GAAGACCCCCTTTGTGATACCTCGTTCGAAAGAACATAAAAAAAGAAATTTTTTCGCGCAAACCCGAAGTCATTATCTCAAACCGTTTCAAAATGGCGGCCGGTCAAAGTTCAAAATGGTGGCCGGTCAAAGTTCAAAATGGCCGAAAATGTGACAAACTCGATTTTTTGCCAATGGATTCACCTGAAATTCGGTACGTGGGGGTATTTTGGCACGAGAAACACGAATTTGACGTTAGATTTTTAAAAAAAACCCCAATTTTTCAAAATGGCCGCCGATTAAAGTTCAAAATGGTCAACAACTGGCAACCTCGACTTTTTGCCGATGGATTCGCCTGAAACTCGGTGTTAGGGGGTATCTGGGTTTGTCTCCTACCCAGTTTTACCAGTCCTTACCAGTAATTTCATGCCGTTCAAGGTTGTAGGTTGACTGCGCGCGAGTCACGCAACGTTGCTGATTCTCAAGGAACACACGACCGGCCGGACGACCGGCGTGGCCTCCAGTGCATTATTTTTCACCGGAGGCCATACCGGTCGTAACGACCGGCGGCTTCAGGCTGAAAGCTGAAAGAATAATCCGAAGGTCTATGAAGTTTAGGTTTGATATAGTCAATTCTAAAAAAAATACCAAAAAGAAAAGGCTATGGCGCCGGGGGAAATAAGTACCTAAAACACCGTGGCAGTCAACGTGTTAAGGGTCTAAATGAATAGGTGATGTGTACAAATAGAATCTATCAAGGTTGATAAAAAATGTAAATGGTAAAGCAGTATTAAAAAATATACATAATAAAAGAAAAAAATGCTTCGTGGTTCAAAGCCTAAAATCAGAAAAAAAACGATGGAGCAGTTTATAGAGACAAACTGAAAATGCAACGAACACAAACCTTTCCTTCATCAATTTTTGTGAGAATTTTCTTGATGTCGAGGGGTTTCTTGATGACTTCATAATAATCAGGAAGTTCACGACGAGATGGTAGTTTCATGAATGGTTCACTGAGAACACGCGAATCTCTGCAAAATTAGATAGGATAATTTTAGACTTTTACTACGCATGAACTATTGGAGAAAATTAACTCAAGATAAAAAGGACATGTTAAACATGAATCAGCAGACACACAGCAGATGTTACTTGATTTTATCGGCTGTATCATTTTTTAAACAGAAAACTGGTAAACATTCTGATGTGGAATTTTGTGGATATATTTACATTATCTTGGGAAAATTCACTGAGAGTTTCAAATTGTTATGTTTTTTAGTTTTCTAGTAATGAATTAAACCCTAAAAGAAAAGTAGGCAACATGAGATGCAGATAATCTGACTCTCTTTGATATCATTCAAATAAGGCAGAGACTTTATACCATGCCATTAAAAGTTTTTAAAGTTAAGACCGAGTCTTAGATTTTTAATGGTACATTTGTGTATTGTTTGCCTTGAGGCTAATATGAATAAATATGCAATTTTTAAAACTCATTTTCTGATTTACGTTTTCGAATAAGGATTTTTTGAAAAACTTTTGCAAAACTTTGTTAAAAAGGTAATAGCCTGAACTAGAGTTTAACAGTAGTTTACGAACAACTCTATGACACAATAATCATTACATTCTTCTAGTTGCTCATTGATTTTATGCTTATTCTTTCTCAAAATGTCCAGTGTTAAAATTTACTTGTATTGGTATTCATTTCATTTCGGCATTTACTGCCATAAATTGACTTACTGAGGTTCAGTGTACTCTACAACAATCGTCATCAATTTATGCATTTGCTTCTTCATTCGAGCATCCGCTCCTGAATTAGCAGGTGGTGTTTTCTCTTGCGGATTCTTCTCTGTACCATTTCTTCGTTTTTTGGCCGGTTCCTCTTCCTCCTCTTCTTTTTTGCGCCGTTTGCGAGTTTTCTTCACTTTCACTTCATCTTCAATCTCATCAAAGTCATCAATACCATCATCAATGGCCTGTAAAAAGTGCAACGAAAAGATGAATTTCAACACATTTTTCATCCAAGATATTTGCAGTTTACAACTGACAATGCATTGTTACAGTCCATCATTAACTCAGCACCCTTTTCTCGATATTTTTAGTTAAAAAACCCATGAAGTTTTTAAAGGAATGGAAAAACTTCACAGCGTAGCACTACATCCTGCAAAAATGCACCAGAGCATTTCACTGTAACAATTATTCACACCATTATTTTTTTTGCGGCTATTTTGTTTGTTCTTCTTGACTTCGCAACTTTCCTTTCAAGTTTTCTTAGGCTTAGAAGTAAAAAAATTAAAAATATAATTTAATTAATCCTTTGAGCTTGTTTAAAAAGTTATGAGTTAGAGAGGAGAGAGTTTTTTTACACCCCTTTTAATGCAATAAAAATGGGATATTACCTCATCAACAAAATTATCTCACCATAAAACATGACAGATTGAAATATGTGCACACCAACAACAACAACAGTTTATGTTAGGTTAGTATGACCACCCACCATTCGTTGCCCACCATCCTCTGTTTGATATGCTGCTTGTAGCACTAGAAACCCATAAACTTTTGGCATGAAACAAAAAGTCCAATGCACAGGGTAGTCTCTCGACGCTTTTCATTTGAAGGGGAAAAAAGGAAATAATGAAAATTTGCTGCACTGAGATGTACATGGAGAACTACCTTGCGATAAAATATCACATAATCCATCATAAAAGCTCTACTGAGATTGGATAAGCATCCGCAGCAGTATGGAATCAATGTTACAGAAAAAAGGTGGTTTTGCACAAGTCTGAAATTGAGGATAGAATTTAAACGCCGTGGATGGAGGCAAGTGAAGAATACCTTTAACCATTCCTTTTCTGTCATGCTGTCTGAGTAGTCAATTTCCTTTCTTGTCCTTGAGCCTCGTCCCATCTGCACTTCTTCCTGTTCGTACGTCCAAGCTTCAACCTCTGCGTCATCTTTAACCAACCAGTCTGGTAGTTCACTCTCCTCAATAAGCCGGGATTTTTTGCCCTTAGACTCTTCTTTGCGTCTTTCAGCATCCATTTTTTGAAAAGTGTCAAATTCAGCTTCACTGCGAGCAATCATCTGATTTACAGTTTCATCATCCGGAACCTCATTCTCTTCCTGACAAGGAAAGAGAGAAAATTGGAATTTTAAATTAAATTGCAACATTGTATTAGAAAAATAGGATTTAGAGATGAAATTAGACACTTAATTTGACTAAAAAGCACTGAATTGAAAATTTATTGGGTTAAATAACTCTACTCAAGTTAAGTGGAAACTAGAACCAGCTGAACTGCAGTTCAGTCACTTCAGTGGCCATTCTAGAGAGTTGCCAGAACTATTCTTTCTCCATTTACATGTGTACAAAACAATCAATTCTTGACAAGGTGGCTTGTTTCGCCTAAAATCGACATTTTAAATGGATTGAAATGGAGGAAAATGTGGGTTTACAACTTGCCGAATCACCACTGCTGCAGTTAACTTTACCTGATTCACTCTCATGGATTATTTCTTCAATTGAAAACTAAATAGCATAACACCTTCATACTATCTGTGAACTTACCCTAGATTGTAAAGAATACACTCATAGAATTTTAATTTCTGAGTTGCTCAGTTTTTTGTTTAAAAAATTGAACAACAGAAAAAATTAGTCAACGTCTGCAGTGGTAGGGTAGATTCCAGTAAAAGTGTTTCCAAAAAATCGACAAAATTTGAACAAACCTCATCTTCTGCATCATCTTGATGCAAAATACTATGCAAAAACTGCTGCCTCTCAGTTCCAGTAGACTTCTGATCGAACATGCCTGCCTGGATGACTTTTTCATCCATGTTCAATTTGTATCGAGCTGCTGCTAAGATTCGTTCTTCAACGGAATTGACCGTCATTAACCTCAATACTCGTACCTCGTTCTTTTGACCAATTCGATGTGCTCGATCTTGCGCTTGTAAATCCTACACATGAATAAAAAGTATTCCATTAGAAAATCCTTCAGAAGAACTTCTGCTGAGTAATACACTAAGAGCCTTCTATTCACTAGTACTATATTGAGATTCAAAGATAGATTCCAATAGAATTTTGAGCAAATTTCAAACAATACAGCATCAAAGACTGGAAAAGGTGATTTTGACTGCAATTGCTTTAATCAACTTTCTAAAAATTTGTCAGACAAATTGTGAATAGTTTTTCTAAAAAATGCCACTGATAATATAATCTAACTATGAATTAGCATCATTTCTTTTTCTGATATTGACACAATCACTGCCAATTTTTTTAGGATGACAATTATCTTGTTGGTTGCCTAAAGGCATGAAGACCAGACCTTTTATTTTTATGTGAACTCGAAAAACTTTACCACGATTTTGATTCAATAAACTTAATAAAGTTTAACTGAATTCAGATCCTACCCATAACAACATTTATTTTATTTATTTCATTTCCCATTAAAATTTATTAGACTAGAAACTTTAAAAAAAAAAATCATATTTATTTTTATTGCTTGAGGTGTCAGTGCTGGAGGAAATTAGACTCTTTCAGGTAGTGCATTCGACTGCTTTCATAGTATGCCAGCACAACGGCTCACAACGGCTTGAAGAAGGATGTTATTGTCTTTAAAAAAAAAAAAAAATGAAGGATAGAATCAAACCTGATGGGGATTCCAATCAGAGTCGAAAATAACTACAGTGTCTGCAGCTTGAAGATTTAAGCCAAGTCCACCAGCTCGTGTGCTCAGTAAGAATATGAAATATTCACTGGTGGCGCTGTTAAATTTTTTCAATAAATCCCCTCGATCTTCCGCTTTGGTTGTTCCATCAAGACGAAGGTACGAGAATCCTCGCCAGTTGAAATAATCCTCCATTATGCTCATGAGCTGGGTCATTTGACAAAATAGAAGTACTCGATGATTGGTGGCCTTCAACTTTGGCAAAATTCGATCCAATAGTTCAAACTTACCAGAGACTCGATAAAGGTCAGGTCTGCAAAATTAAAAGAGCGATTAGTAGTAATTTATTAAATATAAAAAATTGTTGTTTTCTTCTTCTTTTCCCCCAATTTGTGTTAAAGCTACTACTTCTGGCAACCATCAGCTACCTAATGGACAACTATTGTGAGGTATGACAAAATCTGGGACCTACTCGATACCACCATTTTTCTCCAGGACATCAACATTTTTAGGCCCTGGGCTCTTCAAACGGCAAAGTTTTGATAATTATCACAAATACTTACACCGATCGGAGAGTTCCATACAGAGCATTCGCTGACAGAGTCAGGATTCTAGGTTTCAAGTTAATCGGAAATTATTAATTTGGTCATTGGATTTGGCAGTCTATTAAAAAAGTTTAAAAGCTAATGTAGATAACAGAGTTTGACAGATAAAATTTACTCTTACAGTTCAATTGACATTCTCCTACTGACAATGAGCTAACTTACCCACTTACAACACCATTTGACGAACAGCCGATATGATCGCAGAACTTCTCTTCGATATGTTGAAACAGGAATGGATGATTGCACAACTTGCGAAGTTGGACAATTGTATTCATCAGTGCTTTGGCTCCACCTTTGCCCTTGTTACCTTTTTCAGAGCCATCAGTTAGAAGGACCCCTTTACTTTGCATGTGCCTGTTAAGAAAAAATTATGATTTGCAAATGTATTTCAAAGCTGAAGATTACAATACAGGACAATTTTACAAAACGGACCTCCTGACAATAGGATGTACTATTTTTTAGACAAATCTGCTGCGGATAAAAATAATTGAAGAAATTCTAGAGATGACAAATTAATATTTTAACAAATCTGTTGATAGCTTATTCTTAATAGTAATAATTACTGTACAAACATTATTGAAAACCGCACTTTTGCTTCTAGTGCAACGCCTAACTCTTTTTAAAATAGAATTTAATGAAGTTAAAATTCATATGGTCAAAGAATAACTGAATAAAAACTGAGAACTTAAATTTTCAAAGGTATAACTTAAAATTACAGGGATGATTTCATCTATAAAATAAAAAAATGAAAAAAGACGCGTCTTTTGTTAAAGGGGACAGGAGTGTAAAATTTTCCTGAGAGGTCTCCACTTTGAAACAATGATTACTGGAAGCCAAAGCAATTGCAGGGACTGTAAGCACCATGTCTACGGCTTTAGGAACATGACCCTTGGTAAAAGTACAAGAAAGATTTTTTCTAAAGTGCTGTCTGAAAATTTCAATGCAATTTTCGAAATATTCAAACTTCCATACGTTACCAATAATGCAAAAAAATTATAAAGCTTGTAAATGAAACTATTTTCAAGAACTGAGAAATATTAGAAACTTCTGATAATATTCAAATAAACTTTGAAGGGAATATTAAAGTTCTGAATTTTTTCCCCCTTTAATTTTCACATCCAAGATGGTACAATGAAGATTATTATCAAGCCCTGTAAAAACACCTTACCTATACAAGACTCTCTGGAGCCCTGACATATCACATTTTACGATATATTCGATTTTGTCTGGAAGTTGAGACTCGACTTCTTTCTTCAAACGTCGCAGCAAAAATGGACGTAAAACTTTATGTAGACGGCGAATGATCAAAATAGTTTCTTCCTCATTTAATTCCACCTTGAAATAAAAAAAAAAAAAAATGATTATACATACTAGGAAAGCATATTTAAAGAGCAAAATTGCAATTTCAGAAATGGCAGAAATAAATTATCAATCAATTTACTCATTTTTAATCATTTTTAAACATTGATCTGATTGTGAGGAATCTAATCATACTATCGATTTTACAACTAATCGACTCTTGGCAACAACTAATTAAAATTATTTTTTAAGTTTTCAGAAAAAGACATTTGAAAGTTTGCGGCTTAAAAAAATAATAATATGTTTTCACACTTAATATTGATTCTGAAATAATGTTTTGCTGTCTACCACAGGTATTTTCCATGACTTCAATCCCAAATCCACTACCTACTCTCTAGTCAAGTATCCAAAAGAGAATGCTCAAGAGACAAAATTTATTCGAGCAAGATCAGCCCCTGAAATGCACAAAATTCAACTACTATCATGGAGTAAAAAACTGAGACTGATTTTAGTTTTTCATTTTTCGCCTTATATCATGCTGCTGATTTTGTGCCTATACTTTGAAAATAATAATGATTGATGGTGGTTTGCGTGTGAGCTGAACACTTCATTTTTTAACTCCCCAATTTCTGCTTAAGAGAGTACTTACTTTTTCACCAGTTGTGGCAAAAGGAGCATTGAACCACTGTTCAAATGTTGAGCAGGATTTGAAAATAGACGGAAGAAGAAAATTGAGGAGAGCCCACAGTTCGGGCAACTTATTTTGCAACGGAGTTCCAGTCAAAAGGAGCCTTTGCGGAACAACATAATGTGAATTTAGCACTTGTGTCAATTTGCAATGGTGATTCTTCATTCGATGCCCTTCATCGATGATCATGTACTTCCAGTGCAACTGCAAATTCACAAAACATTAGACTGACTTTATGTGTAGTTGAAACAAAGAAAAGAAACAAACTGAGAAACAAACATAGTAGTTATCTAAAATTAGATTGTTATGATCTATTTTTAAACAGAATGTCTTCAATTTGCTTTGTAAAAAAGGAGACAATAAACTTACGACTTACGAATTCACAGCTCAATGATTTGTTAAAATCATTGTATCGAGTTCAGGGCGGGAACTTATGGATTTATGAGTGAATGACTGATTTTTCAAAACCTATGGAGACTGATTGAGAAAATTTAATCAAAATACGAACAAAAGGCATTTCTTCTGTCACCATCAAATTTATTTTATTAAAAAATCAATTTGATCAAACCAGACATTTTCCAGGCGTAAGTTAACATTAAATAATAATGCTAAGCAATACTTTTTCAGAGGTTTTTAGTTAACTATCCGATAAAAAAGTTCTTTTACCCCCCAGGAGATGATCTACAGGACTTAAAAAAAAATTTTGAAATACAGTGGATTTACCTTGGCTAGAACAGCTTTATCCTTGATAACGTATTCATACGTTGTGAGTAGCACATTGAATTTAGATGATCTCATTTGTGCTTGAAGTGCACGTCTGACAGCTGGTGAGCCTTTGTACGCAACAACATTTACAGATGGGGCCCATTTTTCAAACTCCAACACCCAATTTGAAAGGGTGGAAAGAGGTACGATGATTAAATATGGACCGTTTACTTTTTTCATCTCCATCAAGTATGTGATCAATGCGATTGTTTGGATGGTTTTTCCAAGACCCATTTCATCGGCCAGGATGCCATTGAGATTATTATTGTACAGAGAGACTAGCCACTCAAGTCCCTTGATTTGATATTCTTTTAATTTACCATTTACCATGATAGAGGCTTGTTCTGTCACAATTTCATTGATTGTGTGAGCAATACTGTAGTAGGTAAGTTCTTCGGAGGTATTTTTGTATTCATCGTCTTCACTTTTCGCTTTTTCAACAACTTCTTTCGGATCAAGTTCTTCTTTTGGTTTCTTCTCTTCTTTGACTTCTTCAATTTTTTCTTCGATATTTTGATCGGAATCAGAATCAGACTCTTCTTCAGTCTCTGCCTCTGAGTCCTCACATGCTTCCCAACCAGGATGAGCTTCCAGCCAAGTGCCTAGGTCCACCATCAAGGGAGCTTCTTCTCCCTTCAATTTTTTCCCACTTTCCATTTCCATTACACAAGCTCTCCGCTCCGCATCCTCAGTTTCTTTCTTTTTCCTCTTGTCTTCTTTCGCTTTCTCTGCAAGTTTACGTTTTTGTTCAACTTTGTGTTGTTTGACCATTTCTGTCAAGTTTGTGATGTATTCGTCAGTTTGAGACAGTAAGAATGCCAGTCTCTTGTCTTTCTTTTGATCGATGAGTTTCCTGTAACCCTCTTCATCTTCTGCCATTAGGCGTCTCATTCGTTCCTTTTCGATCCTCTCCTGTTCTTTCTTCTGCTCCCGCTCCGCATTCACATGGTAACTAAGCATGGCTTTATTCAACCGGACGATCCTCGCTTGATTATTCCGATGGTATTCTTTAAAGTCTTTACCGTGCTGAATGATGGCTGCCAAATATTCTTGATGTTTTTGTCTCCGTTTCCTCTCTGCTTCCAGTTTCTGCTGCTTTTCCAACTTTTCTGTCGCGCGAGATTCTTTTAATCCTTGGGTTTTGACTCGCTTGTAGGCTTTCATATTGACGGCTGTTTCCAGGGTTGAATCTCTGCGAGCACAAGATATGATCTCGCTTCGGAGCTGACGTTGAAAATTCAAGATTCTCAAAGCACGAAGTTCGATCTGAGCTTTGAGGCGAATTTCATCCGACACTGTTGACGGAAGATTGGAGAGCTTCTCCATATGATGGGCAATGCGAGCTGCGACTCTATTTTCTCTTTCTTGTAAAATTAGTATAGGGTCGATCCCAGTTGGACGAGGAATAGTCGTAACTCTGTTCTGTTTTTGTAACTGAAGTTGCTGCGTAAGTTGCTGCGGATTGGGGGGTGGTGGTGGCGGAGGAGGCAGAACAACTGGACTGGGCATCGGTTTCAGCATTGAGTTAGGAGGAGGAGGGACAACCATGACGGGATGACTCGTGATGGGGAGCCGAGGCATGGGTGGGGCGATATGGACGTGTGACGTCACTGGTGGCTGCAAGGGTACAGGTGGTGTCGGTGCTGAAATGGGAGGCATGAGGGGCGCAGGGGGTGGGAGAGGGGCAGGAACAGATGGAGCAGGTGGTGCTGGAACAGCAGGAGGTGGAGCCATCGTTGAGGATGACTGTGGGGGAGGTGGGGTTACTGGGGGCAACTGAGATGGCGGAGGTCCTTGGGGTACGTTGGGTGAAGTTGGGGGTGCGACAGGGTACACAGGAGCTGCACTCATTCCAGATGAGTTTTCATTGCTTGAATCAGTGGGTCGTGCTTGTGGGCTTGGAGTGTTTCCACCGGAGGTTGGAGGCATGAGAGGTGGAGGTCCCAGACCCGGTTGAATGAGAGACGAGTCCATTCGTTTCCCTTGAACCGCTACTGCAAGTTGATGAGGCAACGGCTGATTCCGAGCGAGAACTCGATATGCCATGATTTGGACTCGTAACTGTTGCAACTGGATGGGACTCAAAACTTGCTTGGAATTCGATGGGCTATCAGAGGATACGCAAAATCCTTGCTGTAAAAGAAAAATAAATAAGATGAACATTCATAAAGCTGCAGCGAACAAATTAACAATTTCTGAGAGTTTCTTACCAATTAATTTTTTTGTGGGCAATACAGACATGACTAATTGAGGGGCTTGGAGGACAAGGCGAATAAGTGCAGTTTTTGAAAAAATTAATTGAGATATTAATGATTTCAAGTAAAACAAGATAGAATGAATAGAATTCTTGGCCATGATCATTTCCTGCTTTTCCCTGATTTCCGCGAGCTCATTCACTGACGGGAAACCGAAGAACTCTCCCACTCCCGTATATAATTAAAACTTATATAATTAAAACTTATATGAAAACTTAAATAATTCTCCAGAGTTCCAGATATGAATATAGATTTTTTTTTCATCTCTTATCCGATTCTTTTGCGCACATTATCAAGTTTTCCAGAAAATCCATGTTTTCTTTGGAGGAAAGTTGGCCATGCTCTAAGTATACTCCGATTTTCCTTAGCGCATCAGGATACCGCGCCGCTCATTCCTCCCGCGGGGTGGAGACAAGTGTGCATGCTTTAAAACCCCTTTAATCGTGTGTTCGGCAACTTTCCTTGCATAATTGCGAGTTTTGTAAATTTTGAGGTAGGTTGGCACCCACCTTAAAGTTGATCAAAATCATAGAATTTTACTTTCGTATGTTTTACCTCGTGCACTGGCAAATTACTAAGATCCCTCTTAAATCAATTGCCAGTTTAAAAGCGTCAAGCCGTGTCATCTCTGTTTGAAAAAAAAAAAACATGAGAGAAAATCGGCGTTCATCCTCAGCTGCACTAGAAGGAAAGAAGTGCGACTTTTTTCTTTAATGAATGATAAGCAGAAATTTAAAATCTCTTAAGTGTGCCATTAGATGTTGCTTAAATTGGGCGACAGTTCATGGAAAATATAGAGAAAATTCCTCACAAAACTTGAGAGCTCTTTTACGCTGAGGAGTAATATGCATAATTTTAGCAATAACCTGATGACACTTGCCAGATTTAAAATTTTCACTCTTCATGTACTAATGTCTGAATGCGAAAAAGATCCGCCTTTATGGTAATGTTTAAACCCTCCGATTGAGTTTTACTCTCCAAGAAAAATTAGTCAAAATGTTTCCTTGCAATTTTCTGTGATTTATTTACGATAAATGATGAAAATTTACAGGGAGCTTAAATAGAAACTGCTGATTGGTTTTCCCTGAAAAATAAAACTTGATCGGAGAGCATTTTTCGGGACTGACAACTCACCGATCCAGGAAGTCGAGGGGGCTCCATGTTATTTTGACGAGCTCTGATAGCGAGGAGCTGAGAATATCTAGGATCCTCTTGCATACCTTTCTCTTCCATTGAATCTATAGCGTGCTGCAAAGCATTCAGATTGTCTTGAGTGGGAGCTGCCTGTAACACAAACCCAAAGGCGGGTAAAATGTAGTATACCGTTAGAGTATACATGCATGTTACTGGGGACTAGACCGATAGGAACACGCAACTCGATTATTCAACATTTTCTTCATCTTTGAATGCAAAATTTAAAGATGGACGTTACGGCATAAATTTTCCATCGCTCTCTTACTTTTCTCTGGATCTTCTTTAAAACAACAAAGCAGACAATCTGATATTAAGGTGATTCGTCAAGCTCAAGTGACGTGGTCGAACTGGCATGCGATATATCGCATCTTATAGGTAAAAAATCTCGGCAGATTTTGAATTTTCAGCAAAAAAAAGGACGATAGCCCCTGCGCATGAGCCTGAAGAATCATTCTAAACCCAAAAATCGGCAAAATTCAGAGAAATGAAAGCAGGATAGTGTTTGGAAAAAAACCTCGCATTCGATTCAGCTATCGATTTCGGTATCGAATGCGAGGTTTTTTTCCAAACACTATCCTGCTTTCATTTCTCTGAATTTTGCCGATTTTTGGGTTTAGAATGATTCTTCAGGCTCATGCGCAGGGGCTATCGTCCTTTTTTTTGCTGAAAATTCACAATCTGCCGAGATTTTTGACCTATAAGATGCGATATATCGCATGCCAGTTCGACCACGTCACTTGAGCTTGACGAATCACCTTAAGCTTTGCCGGGTGGAGGGTTGGTGCCGACTTGTAATTAAAGAGCGCATGATTGAGGGTTCTCGTCTCTCGCAATTTAAAATACAGCGCAATAAAAAGAAGGAAACGAAATAATATATTAGAGGAACGAAAGTAAGATTAATTACAATCATACCATATCAATGGACGCTTGTCTGGACGTCTGGAGCGGCTTATCCACGCTCCATTTTGGGTAAATTGCCGAGAGTATTAACTACAGAGAATGAAACGAACTTTGAGGAAATGCACTGGCGTTTGTGGAAAACACTGAGATCATGTTGAACTTTTAGTTTTTCGATGGAGATTGTCGAGCCGGTCTTCCAGACACTTGCTCTCCGTGTTTCTGTTTATCCAGTTATCGTCTTATCATCAACAACGCGAGCTGAAAACATGTCGATAACGCCTGATGACGTCATTATGTCGCCCGAGACCCTAGACCGATGTCAACGGATGTCAGTGATGATTTTGTGATTATACCAGTGTTATTTCAAAAACTATCCAAAATCATAATTAAATATGCTCTGGCAGGTTTATATACTCTCTGCACTGAAATAATAACCAACATTTTCTGGAATATGGACGGAAAACGTTGAAGAAAATCACTTCGGTGTCGCCGTTCTTATCACTGATTCAGCGTTGACGTAGATGACGTCATACAATTAAAAAACCCGGTAAAATATTTCAAAACAAAATTTCTAAGGTAAACAAAGACGCTTTTTGAATCAAATCGGAGATAACGTGCGTTTATCGGTTACTACAGTGTCATACCCCCCACTTTATTCATGTTCAAAAAATTAAAACAGTTCTTATGAAAAATTTAATCCCAGTGTAATAATAAGTTTAATGGCTTTCGAACACTTCGCATATAATGTTAAAAACTTGTACAGCGAAAAACTGCCTGTATCAGTGAAGACCAGAAATGGGGAGCGATCGCAGCATCTTCATGTCAATCTTGACCTGGAAACCAAAAACTGTGGAGAGAAGGTATGATAATGATTACGATAATGTTTCATGTCTCAATACAAAGTTGCGAGAATTTCAGTAACTGAACAGAACACAACCGAGTGTTGCTCGTTGAGCTAGGTATCCACTTGAGCGTTTCGTACACACGCATAGGACGAGCTACATCTTTTTCATGGCAGCGCGTCCCGTGTCTACTGAATATGGTACATAAGTCAGCTATGTTAGATGTATGTTAGTGATAAAGATCAGCTGTACATTTGGCCAAGCAGCATTGAAACCTTTAGATCTTGTTTGGCATGGAGGCGTACCCACAAGCCTTACAGCCCATGCATCCATGCGTGGCTACTCATGAGGCTAGTTTGCAAAAATATTTTGTGGATACCCTGTTTGAGGTTGAGTCAGTTTTAAAAAAAAAAAAAACATGCAACATAAAACAAAATATGGATTCAGTCTTTTCTGGTTGACTGGCTCCATATGTTTTCCTGACCTTTCGTGTGATTTCATAACTAATGCTCCTTACCTTCATATTCTCGTTCGAGGATTTTCAGGAGTTTAATCATGCAATGTGAAAGTTTAAGACTCGCATCTTAATTTTGATTTTTTAGAATCTATATGAACTTCTTCATCCTCTTTCAAAGGATAAGTGACCAACATTTTTGTTTTAAATTCTCACAGAAAAATGCTCATCAGTTTCCTTCAAGTTTAAAATGAAAGAGAAGGCAATAAAATCTGCAACAATGCGATCCAAAACACATGCTACAGAACCAATACCATCACTAATTAAGCCCTTGTTCAGTTGGAGATTGATCCATAATATTTTATTATTCTGAAACTTATGTTGCTATTGCAGGTGATGGTGATCAAATTGACAGACGAAAATGATCCCTATTTCCTTTTCACAACTGCCATGACATCGAAGGATTACGAGGTTTGTCGAATTTCTCAAGGTTTTCTTGTCACTTTTGAGGAATTCCCTGCGCAGGTCGTCAGATTTCTAGATCTTTGCAAATTGGGAACATCACCTCAGTCAGCGAAGTACACACTCTGTCTGGAAGAAGCTAGGGATTCAAATTCAGATCTGAACTCCCCCACAATTTTTGTTTTAAAAGTTATTGAAATTAACTTTTTTAAGCAATCCTGTCATCTTGCCCTTCAGTTAAATGCTGCATCAGATAAAGAGATCATTCAGCAAATGTCTTCACTGATAAAACGGCTCAAAGAAAATGGGAACAAATATTGTAGTATCATCAATGAATTGGAGGAGAAACTTGCAGAGTCAATCAGGAGTTTCGAATCAAAAAGTAGAGAGTACGATGATCTAAGTAAACGATGGCAAGACGAAAAAAGAAATTGGAAAACATCACAATGCAGAGAATTGGAAAAAGAAAAAGAGCAGCTGACGCAGGTTAAGAAAAATTTAGAAAACAAATTCCTCAGTGAAAGGAATGAAATTGAGGACAAGTTCAAAAGCAAAATCAAAAAGCTAGAGGAAGAGCTTGCGCGAAGTAGACATGAGCATGAAGTGCTCTCTAAAAAGGAAAGTCTCGTTGAAGCTTCATGTAGACAACGGTGCAATAAAATGGAATTGCTTGAAAAGGAAAATGCCTCTCTACTCAGTGATGTGGTCGCCCTGCGGAAACGCAATAATCAACTTGATAAAGAATGCTATGATAAAGAAGCAAATTTGAACATGCTAATCACGAAATCTGCTGTTCTCGAGCAAGAGGTCAAAGATAAACGTCTTCTTGTAACAAAACAACAAGAATTACTCAGGTTAGCAAGCGATAACAAAAGTCGACTTGAAGAAATAATAAATGACAAAGAGACCATTCTGAAGAAAAAACAAGAAACACTGAAAAGTATAACTGACGAGCTAGTCACTGCAAATCAAGTTATCAATAATTTGAGTTCGGAAATTTTATCCTTGAAGGACAAATTGAAAACCCGAACAAATGTAGTTCTCGAGCAAGAAAAACTTATAGAGAGTAACAAGCATTTTATCAACAATCTTGAAAAGGAAATTTCAAATCTTAAAGAACAGTTAAAGTCATCCTCTGAACAAGAATTGTCATTAAAGAAACAGGTTGATGAATTAGAAGAAAAACTACACCTGACTGAAGATAAATTGAAAAGCAACGAAAATGTTATCAACTTTTTACACAGGAAATTGAATGATCAACAGACGAAGCCTCTTTCAAGTCTTTCAGATGTACCCGCAAGACCCATATCCAAATTTGCAGCTCTGAGTAGGCCAATCTCTGCTGATCCTTCTAAGTCATCAAAACAGTCATTTTTCACTTCCACGCCTTACGGAATAAATGGTTTACCCGCTACGACTCAAAGTATCGATGGTCCCAGATCTAGTTATTTGACAGCCAAAGTTCCCTCTAGAAAATCAGCACCCACTGCTTTGGGAAATGACTTAGTCTCAAGGTTTACCCCAGATGCAATTTCAACTGAAAATAGAAATGGTTTATTGAAGTGATAATGATCATATCTTGAAGATTTTTATATGAAGATTTTTTTTCTTTTATGTGGTGGGAGTTAACTCAAAAAATTCCCTTAATTTTTAGATCTATTTTTAATTGTTTCTTTTTAGGGTGCATTTAAAACCTAACGATCTCTCTATTCTAATACTCACAATAAGAACAATTTCTACAGCGCCGCCCATTTTATCCATAGGGGATATTGAACACAAAAAAAAAGTGTAAATTTTATTATGTTTCGTAAATTCCGTACGAGTAGTGACATTGACTGTCATAGTCCTTTTTTTTAACAGTCTTAAGATTTTACTCCCTAAATGATGTAGATGATCTAACGGTGAAAAAAATAGTTTTATCCAACTGGTCGTTCAACCTTTTTTTGTTGCATTGTGCGACTTTTTTGCTAAATGGTAGGTAATTGCTGAAAATCCTTTAGTTATTTGACTTCATTTTGCAATTAGGAACTACAATTTCTGGCTTATCCGCTAAAACACTTGTGTGCATAGAGAAACCATTGGTACACGCGTCATTTCTACGCTGAGCCAGAAATTGTAGATCCCGATTGCAAAACATAGTCCATTTTAACGGATCAACCAGAATCACCATTATTTTCTCCCAATTAAATTTATTTTAACAGAGAACTAATCTACTTAATGCCTGTAAGCTTTCCGCAAATTTATTTTGTGCAGAACACTTTCATGAAATTTCAAGCTTCAGTGCTCCTAGGTTTTCTGTGTAAGTACAAAACAAAACATTAGAGCAAATTAGGCAACATCTGATTAGGCTGATTTGGGTTGAATCGGTTCGAATAGTAACGACGTAAGGTCCTCTAATTATTACAATGTGTTTGAAAATCTGTGGGCAAAAACTAGATTCGCTGTAGAACTTGACAACTTATGTATGTTTTGTAATTTAATGCTCAAGGGCAAAAACTAGATTTGCTGTAGAACTAGACAACTTGTTAATGTTTTGTAATTTAATGCTCATGAAAATCCTGTTATAAGTGTGTAAATATGTTGAAAGTGTATATTATTTATGTATATTTTTCTGAGCGACAATGAGAAAAAACTTGACAAGGATAAATAAGAAAATTGCACCTCTTTATTTAAGACAATTAATCGTACTTTCTAAGTTCAAATTTACAAGTTCATTCAACAGTGAAATGCAAAATAAGGTGAAATGTAGAAAGATGTGTCTTAATTTAAAATTAATATAAAAGACCGAACCTGAAAAATATTCGTACATAGTGATCATTGTTTATTCCACCTGCCATCTGGAAAGCTGAACTTTTCCACTTTTATCCTTGAGAAAATTGGAAAAAAATAATTGAATTTTAACTTTATTTTATAGAGATGTCTGCCTGTTGTTCCAAGGCAAGATTCTATCAATTTTTCATCTGAAATCATTTCACAAGATTTAATGAGAGCATCTCTGGAATAAGACTTAAAATTTTTAATATTTTAGTGGAAAAGTTCTCTCTTTTAAGCGAGTTAGATTCATAATTGAAGTGACAGCACTAGGAGACTATATACTTTACAACTTCTTTTGAAAACTGAGAGAGTCTATCATGGCCCCATACAAGGGTCAAAATAAGCTGAGAGAATATCAATAATTAAGTGTGAAATGGCACAATTTTTCAAAGATCAAAAAACTACAGAGAAGTAGTACATTGAGCACAAGATAAACTATCACGTTAAAAATCTAATCCAGTAGAATTCCTGACTACTGTGTACTTTTGGCAGCCAGCCGAGTAATACATAAACCACTTGTGGGGGGGGGGGGAGGATATATAATTTCTAATGAAATTAATTTTGTCCATCTATTTTCTAGGCTTCCTCTATTACTTTCTAAAAAATTGGGTAAAAGGATCTCTGACAGGTGCCTGGCAAAGGGGTAGAGGTAGGGGTGAAAAAAGTCGGCAAAAATACATTACATAATCCTTGAACAGCCCCTAACATGATAAATGCTGAATTTTGATGAAATATAAAATTTGGAAACCACAGGTAGTTCAAGTTGAATTTTTTAGGCCTTGCTTAATGTACTAAAAGAAGAGAAAGCAGCAGATCTGAATTTTCAACTTAGCTGCCCTTCTAATTAATCGCATTTAGCAAAGAGCAGTTAATTAACATTCTTCGATCACAAATTCAATAGCCAAGACTTAGAAAAGGCTACATCATGCCGGTTTGAAAATTTTCAAATTTTTCGTCTTGTTTTAATTGGTGCTCATAAACCAGTAAAAAAAGGTCTGAACCATATAAAATTTTAAAAAGACAAATAAATTAATCTCGCATTGATGATTTTAAATCACAAATTTACAAAATATGTACAAAGAGAGTGTCATTGTACATTTTCATTCGAAGCTGGACCAAACTATAGTAATAGCATTAAAAAGCAAATGACTTATTGGCATTGCAAAAGACAAATAAGTGGAACAGCAATTTCTGTCACAGTAATGCTGGCCAAATGAGGGACACAAATGCTTTGTAGGTCATTTTTTTAGGGCTTTAAGACTTCTAGGCTCCTATTTACCAGGGTCCTTGCAGAAGAATGTAGGGGTTATCCTACAAACTCACCACAACTACTACCATACTACAACTTTCGCATTAAAACTAGGATAAAAAAAATAATTTAACAACAAAGAAATAAACAAATTTTAAATACCTACTATGATAACAACTGATAGTTGATAACAGATGATAATCGACGGCTAAGAAACATTGCCGTCTATCTGCAAAATGACACTTTGAAAGGACAAAGAAAAAACTTGGTCATTTTTGCAAATTAGAGGTTTACAATTTTTTTTATACATTACAGCGCTCCTATATAGAATTCGAATCTGTATATTTCATATTGTAGAATGTAATAAAGTCGCAGACTCATTTTCGTCAAAATTTCCAGTTAGACGGTATTATTCCTTAGCCCTCGATAAGTTTGCAAATGAGCTAAAGGAAATGAGACAACTGCAATGACAAATGTTTCTCCGACACTTCCCTCACAAAATCTGAAGTCAATTTTTACAATGAATACCCAGTTAAGAAGGTATAGCTTGCTAATGGGCATCACATTTTACATGAAGTTCATCTTTTACGTTGAGAAATTTCCAGCACTAAGAATTGTTCATATGAAGCATGAAAATTTTGCAGGAAGAGAAAAATGATAAATCAAAATGTTATTTAAAAAAAAAGAAGAATAAGAAAAAGCTGTGAGGAGAACAGTTGTTTAATACTAGCCCTAGAGATGAGATCATTGATCAGTCATTGAAACAAACTCTTATAATATTTTACACTTTTTTACAATAAAAACACCCTTGAATATTTCATTCTGCCTTTTGAAAAGAAAACACTTTTTTCTTCCTACTGTTAGAATTCGAGCATGAAAAGTTAGCTTTATGCTATCATAAATTCTGTATGTCAAGTCAAAAGAGCACATGCAAAGGGCAGATGAGATTTCCAGAGCATAGAAAATTGATCTACAGTTTTGTTACACAAGTTTAGAGAAGCTGGCACTAATTAATCCTTTTAAATATCTAATCTCTTTTTACACATATACAAAATTGTCTTTTCAAATCTCTTTTAGGCACAACAGAAAAATAAGTCTCAACATTATATCTACAACTTAAATTTATTGTCTGAGTCAAAAATGATGCAAAGAATTCACCATATTATTTTACGTAACTTCTGCATAGGGTTAGAAGTACATAGATGAGTCTAATACCTGCATACAGGGTGATTCAAAAGTCTCGCACCACCCCTTAAGCTCCCAGAGTTCTTCCTATGTTCCAGAGTTCTTCCTATGTTCCAGAGTTCAGTGTTCTTGCTTTCAGAGTTGCTATGATGCCTTTCACAATTTTGGGTGGTTCCAAAAGTAATGAGTCAATTGCACTGGTCACAGAATCGTGTTTTGATGCTTGATTCTTGTACACAAGCTAAAAATAATAACATCTGTCTAAACTGCAACTTTCTGCGTCCAATATTAACGGAGATATTGTCCTTTGAAGGCGGGTTTTTGACGTCATCCACCACGGCAATGACACCCTTGGTTTCTTCCACGTTGCTTTCATTCAGGTTTCACGTTGAATAATCAGTGCAAATGTGTGTCTCACTGGTAGATGAAAGTAAGGTGGAAGAAACCAAGGGTGTCATTGCCGTGGTGGATGACGTCAAAAACCCAACTTTTCAAAGGACGATACCTCCGTTAATATTGGACGCAGAAAGTTGCTGTTTGGACAGATCTTATTATTTTCAGCTAATCTAAAAGAATCAAGCATCTAAGCCCGATTCTGTGACCAGCGCAACTGACCCACTTCTTTTGACCTAGGAACAATAACAAAATTTCGAGTCTTTTTCTCACTTTGTTCAAAAGTTACGGGGGTGACAGGCAGGTGCTGGTGGCAAAGAATTTGTGGATCATCCTTTATTGGGCGGTCTCTTTGTATTGACTATGAAAGTTGAGGGTTCTCCCTGTTCTAGAAAAAGGCAACTTCAACGATGTAAATAATGCACACGGCAAAAATTGGACAATTTTCCCTCCATCTTGTTTGTATACATCATGAATTTGTCTCATGGTGTTTGGCGTCACTACCAACTGAGCTGTAGTGACCGAATTTTGACCTAACCTAACCAATTTTCAGCATAAATTAATCTAAGCAACAAATAACATTTAGAAAAGTAATATCACAATCAATTGATACCAAGTAAACATTGTTTATCTCAAACTCTAATCACTGAATTGATAAGGATCATGTTGCGATAAAAACGATTCTCTCGTATGTAGATATGGCACGCTCTCTAAAAAAAATTAGAGATACAAAATTTCTTAAGGAGCTGCCTTAAAAATATGGCCGTTAGAAAAATAAAATCTCAGTCATTAACTTAAGATCAATTAGATACGAAAAACTCAGACGCAATGCATTGTGCCTAAAATGAACTACCATTCATCGTTTTTAGGCAGTAAATTGGTTTTCAATTTAACTAAAGTCTTTTTTACTCGTAACGCTGTGAGTCTCGCGTTGGGGTTAGGATGCCAGCATTCCCGCATGAGTTTGGACATACCACTCAGGACCTGAAATAAAAAATAATTTTGATATTCAATCAGAAGAATGAATAAGGAATAGGATGAGTGACAAAAAATAAAGGCAAAGCTAACTTTTTAAATCTTTATAATCTGCACAGACCTCCAACAGGTCCAAGTTTTAGCATACATATGAATATTTGTATTGACCCTGTTACGTGACTAAAGAGCGCAGAAAATGTGAGATCCTGGATCACGAGTCACCTTAGGAGAGGCATAGAAAATTTTGTGGAAAGCTGCTACGTGGACATATGAAAATGTAGAGAGCTCCTGCTATCTTTAGCTTTTTAGAATGAAAAAAATTGAGAGGGAAAGAAATACTCACAGCATCGGAGGACCATCGATTAGGAATATCGGGTCTGTACTGGTCTATGCAGACTACTTTACGCATGTCCTCAAAGCTGGGGTCATTAGGCACATGATCAAAGAAAGGAGGGCGATAATCTTCCACAATTCCATTGACAACTGTGCGTCGGCAAACTTCCCACAGGACCAAACCCAATGCATACATATCGACATGTCGAAAAGCATCAAAATAGCTCATATTTAGTCTGAAACATACAATTTGGCAATCATTATGACTTTTACAAACTTCCATTTTACACGCAAGAAGATTTCCTCTACAGATAAAAAAAGATGTATGGTTTCCAAAATACAGGGTGATCCAAAAGTCCCTTCCACCCCCTCTAACTTTTTACCTAATTGAGGTAAAGATTTGAAACTTGGGGGATATTCCTAGGTCAAAGGGAGCTACTTTTTGGCCCCCCTAAAATTTTCAGGGGGCCCCCCTTGGGGGGGCAACGGCCCCCAACTTTTAATTTTCAAATAGGAAGACCCCCTTTGTGATAGCTCGTTCGAAAGAGCATAAAAAAAGAAAACTTTTCGCGCAATTCCGAAGTCAATATCTCAAACCGTTTCAAAATGGCGGCCGGTTAAAGTTCAAAATGGCCGAAAATTCACACCGGTTATTTGTCGATGGATTTGCGCGAAAATCGGTATGTAGGGGTATTTTGAAACGAGAAAAACGAATTTGACGTTAGATTTTCAAAAAAACCGAAATTTCCAAAATGGCCGCCGGTTAAAGTTCTAAATGACAAAAAATTGATTTTTTAGAAATCTAAGTTCAAATTTGTTTATCTTATGCCAAAATACTCTCAAATTCAAGTTTTAGGCAAATCCATCGGCAAAAAACCGGGGTGACAATTTTCGGCCATTTTAAACTTTAACCGGCGGCCATTTTGGAAATTTCGGTTTTTTTTGAAAATCTAACGTCAAATTCGTTTTTCTCGTATCAAAATACCCCTACATACCGGTTTTCGCGCAAATCCATCGACAAATAACCGGTGTGAATTTTCGGCCATTTTGAACTTTAACCGGCCGCCATTTTGAAACGGTTTGCGATATTGACTTCGGGTTTGCGCGAAAAGTTTTCTTTTTTTATGCTCTTTCGAACGAGCTATCACAAAGGGGGTCTTCCCATTTGAAAATTAAAAGTTGGGGGCCGTTGCCCCCCCCAAGGGGGGCCCCCTGAAAATTTTAGGGGGGTCAAAAAGTAGCTCCCTTTGACCTAGGAATATCCCCCAAGTTTCAAATCTTTACCTCAATTAGGTAAAAAGTTAGAGGGGGTGGAAGGGACTTTTGGATCACCCTGTAGATTTAGTCACATTGCACTGTAATAAGGATTTACTCTATGGGGAAAAATTTCAACTACTAAGAATTCAATAGAGATATTTTTATCACAATACACATGGTTCAGCTGATATCATGAATAGGGACAAGAGCAAGACAAAGAGGCAGCTTGGTTTACTATTTGAGGGAGTACAATATGGTCGAGTTTCACCCTTTAGACAATTGCCCAAGTCATCGCTTTCAGAGTCCTCATAAATTTCAAATTACCCTGCGGTTTTCTGGAACCATCCTGGCACCAGCATAGGAATGAGAAAGAGAAAATTCAGAAAAAATATCATTTGGGCAACCTCCGTTTTTCTCCTGCCGCAATAAAAAAAATTAAGCTGCTTAAAACTACCGATCACTGGGCGTTTTCAGAGCTCTTCATAGTATCTAAAAATACTGATCTACATACTAAAATTTAAACATTTTGTGAGAAAATCTTAGGTAATGGTATCTTACGTTTCATCAAGAACTTCAGGACTCATATAACGCTTAGTTCCTACACGGGGATTTGGAGGAATATCCATTTGACCCGTTGAGTGGTAATGCATAACAGCCAGACCAAAATCAGCAATCACGCACGTTCCATTCGCTTTGACAAGAATGTTCTTTGTTTTAATGTCACGATGAGCAATGGCAGGTTTACCCTGGAAAAAGGAAAGAAATAGCACAAATTTCAACCATATGTGTAATTTTGAAACATTCGGATTGATTCAGAATTAGAATTTCAATTCAGTAATGAACTTTGACCACTATTTTCAAAGTCAGCTACGAACAAGGGACAATACAAGCATTTTAACAGCAATATTTCTTAGTTTTTGATCCTTATGATATTGTGAAAAAAATACATTAAAAAATGCAGAGAGGATGGTGCTGCAAAATGCATATTGAATTGTATACTCACATTTCCTAAAAAACCATATCTTGCCACTAGTGGAAATTGTGGAGAATTAGTAATCATTGGTTCTTGACTTCAGATAGAAAAATAAGAGTGGCTGCAGAGAGGTGAACGGATAGAGATAGTGTATTGAACTAATCTTGATCAGAAATCCTTCAAAGTTCAATGTCTTTTAGGAGCTGCTACTGTTCGTACAGAAATTAGACTATCTCTTATTTTCTGTATTTTCATCTGCTTGCGTCTCCTTTCTGATACAATGCCCTATTTGTGACTTAATTAGAAAAGCTAAATTTTCCACATGCGTATAGCTTACGAATTTTTTCCAAAGGTAATATTCATAAATACTATAGATGTTGTCTAAAGGTTGACATGAATAATTTGTCCAAAAAAAGAGGAAAAATCCATTTGAAATAAAAGCCATTACCTGCGTTCCAAAAATTTCTGTGTGTAAATGAGATAAACCGTTCAAAATTGATAGGCAAATTTTCATCATTTGATAATGATTCAACGTTGTCCTGTTCAAATGATCATAGAGAGAGCCGAGAGCATGATAGTGGGTAACAAGCCAAAGTTGAGTGCATGAATTACGAGAGATCATGTCCGATCCTATGTAGCCCAGAATGTTGTCATGGCGAAACAAGACAGTGCTACAAAACGGAGAGATTACAAAAGATAAAACAAAATAAAACGTAATACATAATAGGCAGAATGGAGGGTTGCAGTGAAGTACAGTACAGAATTTACTTAGACCACAAATATGGACAATCACAAAATGTCTTTAAAAATTAAGGGATCCTGAGAACACAAATCTTGATTGCAATGTTTCAAAATTTCTGCCACTTTTTCTTTTCTTTATGAAAATATAACTGGACATTTTCTCAAATCATTTTTAAACAACAATCCCTCGAAAAAGTAAAAAAAAATAAGGCAGGAAATCTGCAACACTGTAAAGCCAGATACATGATTTGGCAATTTAACCATTGATTCACATGCAATGGTAGTGTTAGAACGGAGTCTTCCAAGTGATGCTTTTCTTCCAGGATCTCCACTGTCAATGACTATTACCAATTCTCAATAAATACGATTGTTAATAAATTTTAAAAGATTTTCAAACATGTTCACTATTGCAAGACCGTCACCTGCAACAAGTCCGTTGCATGCTTACATAGAGGCGAACAGGTTTTGGCTTGGCAGTTCAATAAAGCATTATGGGAAAAACGTTCTTAAATTAAACGCAGCGATTGGGCTTTATCTCACCAAGTTCACTCTTAGCATAGTTCATATACACAAACTTTGAATTTAACTATGGGTCAACTATGAGTTTAACCTTATTGGCGGGGATCATGCACACAAGCTTCTTATACCGACCTGTAAAGCACGAGAGATAGGAGAAAATTAGCGTCAAGTTTGTGCCTTGTTTATGGCTGCATTCCTTTTGCCCTGGGATATTACACTTATTTTTTTCTTTTCATCATACCCCAGAGTCAAGAGGTACCTAACTTCATTTTAGTCATTCCGAGATATCAGGGAAAATCCGTGCTATGCGTTGGCCCCATCGATTCCAATGTAAAGCAATTTTTGAAATTCCGTAACTCATAACCAGCGTAAGATAGGGCTACCAAATTTTCCACACACACGGAACCGTTATTGGAGGTTTCAAAACGACACTAACTTGATTTTTTGAAAAATGTGAGTTAGATACTTTTCCGCTCTGAAGCAATGATATGTGGCTGTTTCATTTCATCATTTGAAATATTTTCAAACAAATCAAAACATCAGTTATAGCAACTGTTGAGGGAAGTATAAATAAAGCACTGTAAGCACAAACTGGTATTAAAAAATAAAGGAAATGGCTGATACTAATATATTGAAACAAGAAAAAATAAAAATTAGCGTACTATGTAATCTTTCTGCATTGAATGAATAAAATCATAGATGAAAAAACGAAATTACCTGTAAATTTCTGTCTCTCGGCTCCATGAGGCCTCATCACGGCTAAAAAATATTTTGACGGCAACATTTTCACCATGCCAAACACCTCGCCACACTTCACCATACCTTCCTTTCCCTATGCATTCGACAAGCGAAATTTGCTTGGCTAAAGTGCGCTGAACCAGGAGTGGAAGTCCAGAGCCAGAACCGGAGGTTAATGACTGCTCTAAATATTCCTGGAATACACAACATACATTTTTAGTTATAATTGTTACAAGAAAATAAAGCTCAATTTCCCGTAGCATTACTGCTCTGACATTTACTCCTCGTTTCATTTAAGTGCTGGAAAAATCTTGACACTCAGGCAATTTTGCAATCATTAATTGCAAAATTTTGACAAATTGAGAAAGGAATAAATTGGAAAGATCAAAGAAATACTTAAGGAAGCCATATTCTGTGAAGAAGGATGGAGCTTATCTAAATCCAGATCCTTGCAAACTTTGTTTTTGATCATTAGTTTATCCTCACTTTTGTCTTCATAATTGGATTTAAAATTTAGATGTAAGACATGCCACTAATTTTCTCTAAAATGCTGAGGATTGAGGAAGTGTTACAACCATTAATAATAACCAGCCACTGATGACTTACTCGGACAGTGCTTTCTCCAGCCGCTGTAGCTCGTAAGACATCGCCATCTGTGATGAAGGCATTGGCATGCAACTCCCGAGCTGCTAACAATCTTTTATGGTGATTCCGCCTCATTACAAGGATGGCAATGCTTGATAAAGCTCCGATTCCAACCAGGGGACCAAAAATTGCCAAAAATAGTTTTAGGATGTACTTTTGGCTTTCATACGAGAATTCACCTGCAATCAAAAATCATGAACAGAGTGAGAAAGGTACATCGAATGTAGGATTAAGATCATGCAGGGGTCTAGACTTTATACAATTAGAAGATCTACAGATTGGCACTGGCTAAGGTATCAGCATCCTGAGTGCATGTAAATTTTTTCAAATAATATTATTTCTGGTGTACATTTTTGGTTTTTGTTTGTTCTAACATTGATGCTACTCTGTGGCCATGGATTCTCCAGGATTTCACGTAAAAAAAAATTTAAAAAATGTTAGATATCGAACAGCACTTTTTGTTCTTAATCTTGACAAAGCAGTGACAAACTACAGTAAAACTTCAATTAATCAGATTTCACAAAATCCACAAATAGATCTATTAAATCACAGAATCTATTAATTTCAATTAGCTTGAAGCCCTTGAAGGGATCAGAAGATTGATCCGTTGAATCCCAATCGGATAAATTAAGGTCTTACTGTAAGTTTGAGCGTGCGCAGGAAAAACAAAAGCTAAATTTACCATCTCGTTCTTGAGGACGAAGCTCAGGGAAGGATGCATTATTGCAAAAATCAGTTGAACAACAGTCGACCACAGCATGATGGCCATCCGGACCAGTATAGTCTTTGCGTAGGATCAAGCTGCCTGCAGATATATTGTGTGGCCCGCAATACATGGTTACATGGTTAGCTTCTACGGTGCAACCTCGTGCTTTTGTCTCCGCTCCTGTGCTATCTCGAGTGTGAGCAGTGTAACACTGAAACAACCAAAGATGCATAAAATAAAATGATTTTTCCATGATGGATCACTGCAAAAGTCAAACTAACGAAAGCAATTCACGGAGCTGCCGTCTCCACTTGGCCATATTTTGCCCCCAGACTTTTGGAACCAATTCATAGACCCAACTGGGCCAACAAAAAGGTATGAAAATTCCCACACGTGAGCCGATTCAGCAGGTGGCTTATATACCACTTTAACACAGTTTCTTATTTGCCTGCGCTCGGGATAGACTTGATGCGACAGTCTGGGTTTGCATTTCGCTTCAACAGCTTATTTTTACACTTTGCAAGTTATCAAGTGCATGAATGCTTTATAGGTGTGCTTTCAAGAATATCCAGCAATTCTGCACCTTTTGCCTTTTGAAACATACATTCTTCCCCTGTTGTTTCCCTCGAAAGTGACAAAAATAAAACAAACGGAAAAACCTAGGCTTGTCTCAAGATTAAAAAGTTTTCAGCAACAAGTTCAAATAAAATTGTCTAATTTTTTCCATGATTTGATTCTTTTATGCCCACCATAATTCGTGGAGATTGTATTTACTTAAGGGGCGAGCATGCGCAATCCTGGTAAATATTTTGATGATGCTGTAGTTGCATTACATTTATTGTTATTATTTCTTTATTTGTACACTTGCAAATGTATTTTAAGACTTGGTCAAAAATTTGACCTCAGTTTATTTTTGACAGTAAAAAAATTATCTCATTTAAATAAGCTACATACCACTATGGCATCAGTGCAGACGCCCTTGGTATCACAATCATTGTCGCAGGAGTGACACTTGATGCGCTTGAGTGCTGGACGCGCATGTAAGTTTTGCGCTTTCAGTAATGAAGCATAAACTATGTTTTCCTTCACTTTGGCCGTTCTGCTATCCAATGAGTCTGACGAGTGTTCTACGTCTGTCACGTTTGCTACTAACGCCTTCAAACCATTGTCATCATCATAAATTACATCAACGTCACCTGCAATAAAAATACGGGGTAAGTAATGGCAGTTGTGTTCAATCAACTTCATTTGCCACCAGACGCAAGATGCATCTGAAGACTCAGAGTACTGGTTCAGAAAACTGAGAGGAGCAGATCATCTGACTTACTCTAAAATTTGGCCAGATCATTTAGTTTGGATGTAGCATATTCCAGAGGTTCACTGTGTACAAAGAGGCACTTAAAAGGAACAATTACCCTTTACTAAATCTTTACTTTACCCACAAAATTCATTTCTAGCTTAATCCCCTGAGATGCCTGACTTTTCAACCGTTTCAAGATGACTCGAGGCTCATACTTTGAGTGGATCACCAAGTCCTGTCACATCATTCAAGATAAAACTAAAAATGAGTGCTGCAAGAGCCTTTAGATGCAGGGCACTTACTTACACATCACTACTGCTCCCACATTGTTAGGAGTAGGAAAGGCAATTTTGCAACATTATACAAATGGAATTATCGCTTTCCTCAGCTGCAAAACGCAGCAATTACAAAAATTACTCAATGGCTCCTAAACTAAAGTCTGGTCATGCTGTAATGTTACTGCCTTGCACCTGTTGATAGGATAAGAGTTTGAGGACACTCCTCGACTTCATACGGGATATATGTACTTGTACGTGTAAGTAGGTAAGATATCTTATTCACATTATTGCTCATTAAGGGGAAGGCCGATAAAGAATGGTGGTTGCATTTTGCACCCGCTTGGCGTCAGCATCGGGTTGATTCTGATGGCACGGCAGAGCATGTGCACTCTGCACGTCACAGCCTTTAAAATGGCGGCTCAACTCAAAATGCGACCACTCTTCTTTACCCACCTTACATTGATGAAGCCACTTGAATGCGTGTAATAACCTGTTAAGCAATGGCAATTCAAAGCTGATTAGATGTTGATTTTAGCCTCAACATACAGTTGGCATGCTCTATCATTGATTCTGGAGTCCGCACACAGTAGATCAGCCAATGCAAGAGAGAACGTAGAAGTGCTACCTTGATTCTGATATTTACTGTTTAAGTACATGGAGATAAAGATGGAGACCCACTACTAGAGAACTTCTATTAACATGGAAGGGCGTACTTGTATGCAGCAGGGATTCTTACTTACATTAAGAACTTACTGGCAAACATAAAGTGAAAATAAAGACTCCTACATGAGAGGATGCATCAAAGTTTGTGTTAACATCATTGAAACTCTCACGAGAAAAGGTAAAACCAGTGACGCTTAAAACAGGCATCAGTTTTCGTCCTTAAATTTGTTTATCGACGATCCCTGCACTATGCTCTTCGATAAAGTGCTGGGTAATCAAAAAATTTGTGGCTATGACAGACGCTAACAAATTAATCGTGGCCTCAAGTATTGAGAGCACCTATTTTCTCCAAGTATCAATTTCTAAGAGATGTGATTGACTGATTAAATTGAATCATGACCAGAGAACTTAAAATAGGAAATCTGAGAGTGCAGTTGCAAAGGACATCTGCTGATACAGGTTAGGTGAGTGGACATTAAATTCAACAGAGAAAGAGGAAATAAGCTCTCGCTTACCGATTGAGAGTGTGACCAAGATTGAGAGGGTAAATAAAACACATAATCTGCTAAGAACCATTCTGAAGGAAATTAGAAATTAGCATTCTATTCCCGAAAAATTAAAAGCACAAGTTAAATTTGTAAACACAAGACTCAAAACACACGCACGGAGGAGGGACGAAAGGGGAAGAGATAAATAAAGGGAGGGGAGGTCAGACGGCAGGCTAGCGCATTGGCGCCACGAATTCAATGGTGCGGGATCAAAAGGGAGGGAGGTTGAAAGGCTTAGGCGCGGAAGAGTGGGAGCGATAAGCGATAAGGAGGGGAGAGGAACTGCGCAGTAGGATGCGATATATCGCATTGATTAAGTAAAAAATCGCGGCAGATTTTGGATTTTTAGCAAAAAAAGGACGATAGCCCCTGCACATGAGTCTAAAGAATCATTTTAAACCCAAAAATCGACAAAATTCAAAGTAATGAAAGCAGAATAGTGTTTGGGAAAAAACCTCGCATTCGATACAGAGATCGATAGCTGAATCGAATGCGAGGTTTCTTCCATACACTACTTTGCTGCCATTTCTCTGATGAATTTTGCCGAGTTTTGAGATTAGAATGACTTATCAGGCTTATGCGTAGGGGCTATCGTCCTTTTTTGGCTAAAAATAAAAAATTTGCTGAGATTTTTTACCTAATCGATGCGATATATCGCATGCCAGTTCGACCACGTCACTTGAGCACTTGAGCTTGACAAATGCGCAGTTGTGATCGGAAAATGGTCAAAAATTCGACGCGTGTCTGCCATGTTTATATTTTTAGTGAAGTTTCAGGTTAGAAATTCATCGCTCACGTGGTTCTGAAAAGTTCTCAAGTTGTAAATTTACTCTCTCATCATGGGTCGTAAAGCTAAATTTGCCGAAGAAAAAGTGAAGAAGGGCCCTGGTAAAAAAACGAAGAAGCAAAAAGATCCCTCTTTTCCATCAGCCATTGCAACCACAGGTTAGTACGTACAAACAATGTGTCCTAAGTTTCTCCTCGCAACGTAAGGAAGGAAAAGATGAAAGAATAAATCTGCGCATTGACCAGAGATAAATTAGAAGAATTGATCATTCCAGAACGGTCCTCCATAGCACCTACCACACCGTTCAACGAATCATGAGATTACCTATTTGAGTATGGTATTCTGCTTTTTCAACAAGTTGATTTGATTGATAGCTTTTCACCGAATATCTGTTAAAGAGGGCCCCTGTTCCCTGTAAAGGCCATGCACTGGACGAAGTGTAAGTTCTGAGATTATGTGTATGTAACTGTCAAGTGCAGGAAATCATTCAAAGCAAGGTGTTAGTTCATCTAGCAAATAACTCTGAAAGAGACAGGTTTGTTACAAAATCTCACCCTTTGTAGAGTCCTTGCCAAACAATTAAATAATTGTATGCCCCTTTCAAAGTGCCACAGAAGATCAGTTGCCTTTAATTTAGCATTGAAAGTTAATACTAGAATTCAGATAGTGGATCTTCTGCTGCACTCTGAAAGTGCATAAGCTTAGTTGGCTTCGACTCTAGCACTTTGGACCGTTTCCCCATGAAATTTTCAAATTCTGATGCTGAATCTTGCTTATTTTTGGCTAAATTGATGTAAATGGCACTCCAATTTTACACAATTGATGCCTCAGCAGTTGAAGAATTGACTTCTTCGTCTATTCACCAACTACTCCTTCCTAAAATTATTACTTAACAACACATTGTCTTCTGTTACTCTCACACCTGTTTGTCATAATAATTGACATAATTTAAACTCCGCAGATGATGAAGAGCCCAAGAAACTAAGTCACAGGCAGAAGCTCCGTCTCCGAAGAAGACTTTTGCGAAGAGAAGCCCGCAAACAATTTTTAAAAGAATTAAAAACCAAGAAAAAAGAGAAAATCGAAGCTCAGAAAAGAATGATGAACGGTCTGAAGCGCGACACCAAAACTGGTAAGTGAATCTTGTTTACTACTGTAATTTTAAAACTCACGTTTCTTGTAGGTAGCTTCTAAGAAGCTCAGTAGACTTATTGTTCACATTCTTAGTTACATGTTGTTGAGGGAATCATATAAAGGCTTATTTTATCCGTGGAAAGCATGGAACGCGATGGTAGCTGTTCGGGCTGGTTCAACGAGCCTGAACCAACCTCAACCTACCTCAGAAGAGTGGTCCAAGTGTTCCACTGGAATACATGGAGCGCACTGGAACGCGCCAATGGAACGGGATTAAAAAGTGATGCGTTCCGTTGTGGTTCAGATAAAAAAAAAACCCCACAGTTACCTTCAAAGACACCGTTGAATGCATACAGAGTGATCCATAAGTCTTGCACCACTCTTATAACCCATATCGACGGTGAAACTACCAAACCACGTATCTCGGTTTGCGACGTCGCAGACTTCCTGTCATACTTTATTTTTTAAATGAAAAACTACTTAACGTCCAGTCTTGAAAATTTCTGTGATTTTTCCTCTTCGTGCGGAGAAAATTCTGTGAAAATTTTAAGGAATGATATTGATTTGGTCTACTTCCACAAAATAAAATGCGAGCGTAGATTTTTAAACACCGCAAACGAGATACGTGGTTTGGTAGTTTCACCGTCGATATGGTTCTTGCCTCGTTTGCCCTGCAAAATATATTGAGGGTTCCTAATAGTCATTTCTTGAGACCTCCAGGAGCACTCACAGAATTGGATTACATTTTGCAATAAGGAACCACCATCCCTGGCTCTCCCATACAAGCACATATCTGCCTAGGGAAACCTATGGCATGTATGTTGTTTCTAAAATTGGCCAAAGATAGTGCTTCCCTCTTGCAAAATGTAATTCAATTTCAAGTCTCAATCTCAATTTGCACAAAAGCTGCAGGGGCCATTCTTGGTGCTGGTGGTGCAGGACTCTTGGATCATCTTGTATGGTCTCTGGAAAACCAAATTATCCCAGGGGCAGATTTAGGCATGGCGTTCAAAAGCCTTGCCTTGTGGCGACAAATTTCATGGAGGGGGAGGGTGCCAAAAATTTTTGGAGGCAACGGGGTCAGGGTTTTTTAGGTTACCAAGTGAAACTATACAGAGTGAAAAAACCTAAGAAAAACAAAGAGTACAATAGAGTCACAATGTTCTGGATTGCGGATGAAGTCACTTTATGAGACTGTTTTGTCCAGTCCTCCTGAGACTAGTGTGCGGCGACTGGCAATGCGGTATATGCGGGGTCCCAGCTCCGGTTTTTGTTCAGAAAATACAGGTATAAAATTTATTTCATCCAAACCGGGAGTGTCGTACATTTTTTAATTGGTCATGACTTCGGTGAACACAATTTGCCAAAGTTTGCGGAAATAATCATTGATTTAAATGAATAAATCCCAAAAACCACTCGCAGCCCGCCATTCTCCCACAAGCTGCCGTGTTAAAAAATGCTGAATGGTTCCCAGATGGTTCCCACTTTCCGGCAAACAAGGGGCTCGGAATGGCCCGTTCATGGATTGACTTTATTGGATTGGCTCCAGTACGTTGCTACTATATTGTACTCTATGAAAAAACGAAAAGTGGAAATTTATGGGCGGCAGAATTTGATAGCCAACCTAATTAGTGTATTTCTCTAAAGAAATGTACTATTTTTCATTTAATTTTAGTCACCGACAATATTTTATATTTATTTTATTTTAGATGACTCGGAGACAGGTAGCAAAATGAAAGGATTTCATGATGATAACAGCTCATGGTTAAAACCCAAAAAGAAGAAATTACTACCAGATGAAGATAATGAAGACGATGAGGATGAAGAAATGGATGTTGATGTAAGTTGTAACCTTTGAACTATGTAGAATGCGAGTATTTAGTATGATCAATCAATGAAGAGAGAACAGGTCTGTTAAGCGAGTTACAGAACGTTCAGTGCTTGAATCCTGCCATTGTAGTATGTACTTTCACTTTTGATACTATCAGTCACTGGGTTTTTTGATGGGCCCAAGTTTCCATTAATAATAAATCTTAATAAAATATTGTACGCTTGCTGTTCATCGGTAATTAAGACTTAAGGACACTTAAGTCACTTTAGGTGCGCACAAGTCGGCAATGGAACAGTCTGTCCAAGGAACTCCATCAAATTCCTTACGACAGATGGATTTATCCCCTTTGGTTGCCAAGTTGCATGCTGTAAGTGTACCTGAACCTCGCTCACTGGCCAAGCAAATTTGAACACTTAATTCTTTTCTGAACATAAATCATAATTTCTGGCAAAGGTTTTATAAAATTTTCTTTCAATTCAATCTGTATTTTAATTTGTCCTATAGTCTCAGGAAGAAAATGGCTCAGAAGTTGATGATTCTGAAATGGAAGATTCTGATGATGATGGTGTGAAGAAGGATAGCGGTTTTAGCACTGATTCTGATGATGCCTCGGATGACAGTAGCGATGATCAAGATGACAGTAACGCTGATGAAGATGACGAGGATGATTTATTACCATTTGAAAAAGCAGCAAAGAAAACAAAGAAGAAACATGCAAAAGAAGCGTGAGTTAAATTAAATTTTTACAAACCCATTCGCAAGATCCTGGAAGAATTTATTTCAGAGGTGGCACAGAAATTGGTCGTTCCATTAGAAAAGAAACTCAGGATTTCCAGTGGTCTGGAAAACTTGGGAAGTCAGGGAATATACGGTGACCTGGCAGTTAGGGAGTTGTGCGAGTAATGTTTTGTCTCTGCAAATTCAGCCATTGCCATTTGAGAGAACATGTACAACCTCAGAGTGCCCTTTTCCGTTATTTGAATCACAAGAAGTAGACTTCTTGTCCAAAGTCCAGCAAATACTACTGTTATTTATAGATGAAAGAAATCCATGTGGAAGAGTTGTTTCAGGGTCAGGAAATTAGGACACTTCGAAGCCAGAGAAGGACAAGGAAAGTCAGGGAAATGAAAAATGAAGAGATTAAGGAAATTCTGGAGAAATCTTAAGAAAATTAGTCGAGTTCTGTTGAATGAAATAAATGGAAACTTCAAGCAAAAAATAGTCTAATTTTCCGTTTACTCAAATCCAATGGGAACTGAAATTTTAACACATGGAATTAAGGTGGTTGGTTTCTGACTTTAGCCATCAATGTGTTACATATTTTATTCTCTTGTTTTTAGTCGTGCGGCGAAGCCGTATAGACTCTAGGTTTCGCCGGAGGCTAAAAAGTGTCCACACTTTTAGGCTAAGTCCAAGAGGAGAATTTTCGAGGAACCAAGTAACATATGAGGTATTGATATCGGTGCATTTTGGCCCAATGGAGATGTTACATGTGCGAGGAATTTGCAATTTGACTGTTGATTCTTGTATAAAANGGTAGCTTTTGCTACTTGTTTTTATCAGGAATCGAAATAAATTGTTTGTGTAATCAGTTAAAGAGAAATGTTTTTAGCACTGTAACGCAAATTTCTACCTTCAGTGAAATTTAAAAAAAGGTACACTCATGCTCTCATACTTAAGTAATGGTTAAATTTTCTCTCTTTCAGGAAACTCGCTGCTGAAGAAGAGAAAGAAATGAATGCTGATCACTCAAGTGAAGTATTCCAATTTCCGAGTGAGGAAGAGTTGCAGCAACAACTACCTATTCCTGAAGTAGAGCAGAGAATCCGCGATAACTTAATGGTTCTTACAAATTTTAAAAAGTTCAGGGAAGAAGGAAGGTAAGCCTCAAAATTACTAAGTCCTCTCTTTCGTATTTTCAAGGAAGAATTTATTTTTTAAAAGAAAATTTGCTCTTCACTGCTGCAATTTTAATTTTAAGATTTTGTTGACAATTATTTTTATCGATGAATAAGTAAAGTGGAATAACTTAATCATTCTTGTGTAAAATCTGTACGAGTTTTTCTTTAGTTGAAATCACTTATCTCTTTCTTTCGTTTTTTCATGCAACCGTAGGAGCAGAAACCAAATTTTCTCCAAAATCATGTTGCAGCCATTTAATTTCCAAATATCCTCTCTCTATCGCACTTAATTTTATGTAATTAACACCCAGGACTTGCCATTGTTAACAACAAGAATTAAAATCAAAAGAAAAAGTGTTTAAGTCATATTCAGATTAAGTTGTGTTTAACATCAATTGCTCTCATTATTCCATCATAGATCTCGGACTGATTACATGAATTTGCTGCTGAGAGATTTGTGCAACTACTTCAGCTACAACGAATTCATGATGAAGAAGATACTCAATCTATTCTCTCTACACGAAGTCATGAATTTCCTGGAAGCTAGTGAAACGCCACGACCATTGACTATTCGAACAAATAGTTTGAAAACCAGTAGACGTGATCTTGCCCAGGTTTGTTATTTCTCCTGCTTTTTATTGTTTAGAAAATGTATTTCTGTATCTTATTTTTAAAAGAAAGGAAGCCATTTCTAATTGGACAGAGTTAAGCAGAAATGCAACAGGCTGCATCTGAACTGAAAAAAATATGGTTTGAAGTTTTATTCCTTGAAAAGATTTAACGTCGAAAACAAAATTTAATGGCTATTTTCTTGTCCAAAATAGTTTTTCTCAGTGGAATTTTCACAGGAAAAAATATTTAACCAATTGAATTCAAAACTACTTTCTACTCATCCTTCCCTGACTGTAACTTGCTGCATCTCTGTTAAACTCTATCTAATTTTGACTGTCCGCAAAATACCAAATGTCAGTGCCAATACCAAATCAAATTCAAGAGATTGGTACCACTTCTGGTAGAAATGGTTTACAAAAATTTTGACTCAAATATTGACCCAAAAACGTCGAACCGAATTGAAGTTGATCACTTGAAAGTTGTTGTTCAAAAAGTTTGGTTCCAATGTAAAGCCATTGACAGTTCCATCTGCTTTGATTGAGGCTTTACATTTTTGGCTGAAAATTCAACTTAATGCTCTCTTGACACAGAAATCAGCCGAACTACTCGCTTTCTCAGAATACTAGAGAATGTTGTCTGGGAAGAGTCAGACTTAAATTTTTTGACCCAATTTGGCGATAACCGCTCCTATGAAAAATTTGCCCCCATGATCTCAAATCCTCTTTTCGTGTGAATAGTCACAATCGTAAAGTAAGAAGTCAATTAACTTTCACAAAAAGTAAATCTGCCGGGATAAATACTCACAAAATCTGAAACGCTTTTCTTCGAAATTATATAATTTGCAGGAAATATTATCGTATTATTGCTTCTTCCTTATCTATTCTATTTAGAATGTTTTAAAATGTAGAGTCAACTATTAACGAAGATTGCTCTTTTAAAATTAGCATTTTATAAAAGCATTAGCTTCTTTTTTGACACATCTTTGTAAGTGTTGTTTGCTGATGAGTCTGTTTATGATTACAGGCACTGATTGGGCGCGGTGCAAATGTCGATCCGATTGGAAAGTGGTCTAAAGTAGGTTTAGTCGTATTTAGTTCACAAGTTCCTATTGGTGCGACCCCTGAGTATTTAGCCGGACACTATATGATTCAAGTAAGTTTGTAATTTTGCGTCTACTTTACCTTAGGAACTGAACTTAATATTTGAATTAAGAAAAAATTTATGATTTTGTGTAGCTTTAACACATTGACTAATGTTTTTTTGCTTCCTGTAGCACCAAGATTAAACCATTATGTGCAAATGGAATGGACCTAGTTGAACTGAATTCTTGACCGTAGCGAAACTTCAGCCGCACAGTATATTGACAAGATTTCTGGGCCCTAACAGTTTTTCATTTTTGCCATTCTAGCAGGCGCAGTTTTAATCGCAGAAAAGCAAAGCTTTCTGTTGACAGTGAGATGATCTATATATTGTACAGGTATTGCTGTAGGCGTGAGGAACCTAACTCAGAATTCAAAGGGTTAATGAAGAATTTTTTTTTCCCCAACAAATATCTAGATGTACCATTATTACTACAAGAACTATGCGCTCTGTATCTATCCACGTGAACTGAATTTGTAAAGATACCAAGGAACTTAAGTAACATTACATACTACAGATTATACAGAGGAGCAGGAGTTCTGGAATTCTCTGTCTTTTGTTTCAAGAAATTAGGTGCATGAGGTTGCTAGTTTAATTACGTCGTTTTGTCGTTCCTTTTATGGAACCCCATTTACAAAGGTATGAACCTACATATCATTTTTTGTTTTTCAGGGTGCTGCCAGTATGTTGCCAGTCATGGCTCTGGCCCCGAAAGAAAATGAGAGAATCTTAGATATGTGTGCAGCGCCTGGGGGTAAAGCATCACATATAGGTAAAAATCCAACATGTTTTCTTCTGTAATGAAATTTGAAAACCATCTTATCGTGCTACTTAAAAGCTTTTTAACAGGATATTGTTGAACCATTTTGTGTTGAAAGAGGATTATTTCTACTAAATAAGTGTTCATTTATTTGCGGAGAAGGCGAGCTATTTTTTAAAAGATTCTATGATCATTGTTTGATGGGAGAGAGATAATGAGAAAATTCAAAAGTTGGGAGAGGGAGTTGAGAAAAGTATTGCATTTGATGTAAATATTAACAGGAGAAATATTAGAAGTGAGGGGTTGTATGAATGCAAATTTTGATGTTAGTTTTCAATCATATTGATGTAATTTTCACTCAGAATCAAATTGAAACGTAAATTTCTTGTGTCAGTAATTAGCCTGAATGATATCTTAGTATTGATTTAAAAATCAAGAAACCTGTTCCTTTTTTAAAGCCACAATTTTTAGATGAGTAAAATTTTTCTGTATGGCTTATTACTTCTAGATGTAAAAATCTTTTCTCAGACTCATTAAGGGTTGACTAATTGCAGGTGCTATAATGAAAAACACAGGAGCATTATTTGCAAATGATGTCAACAAAGATCGAGCTAAAGCAGTAGCTGCCAATTTTCATCGTTTAGGTATTACAAATGGAGTTATTAGTACTTTAGACGGTCGGAAATATCCCTCGGTGAGTATTAGTTTTTACTTTTTTTCCTTTTTTTCTCTCTTATCAGGAGGACTGTGGCATTGGTCTCAATTAATTTATTTCTTGTAATCATGGATTCCAATTGTCCGTCTTTTCAAATAGATTGCATTTAGCCAAAGAAAACTGATGCGATTAAAGACTTTTAAAATGGTGCATTCTCTTCTTTGCCATAAAAAATACAAAATGTCGATGGCTAAAGTGCAACACCACATATCTCCATGACATTGTTTCAAAATCTATACTCCTGTTTTTTTTCGAACAGAATCAAGTCAACTTCATAGCTTAAAATTTATTTAGAATATTCTACTGACAAAGTATGAGTGGAAGTCTACAACTTCGCAAACAGAGGAATGTGGTCTCGTACTTTCGACATTGATTTTTGTACAGTAATTCAATTTACACTATCATTTCCTTTAAAATTAACAATTTTTCTGTTGAAAAACAAAAACTACATACGTTCTTATTGTAGGCATTATATATATATATGAGTCGCTTTTATAGCGCTCTTTGGCGCTGTGCGACGCCTAATCGCCACAAAGCTCGGTCTTCCCACAGGTCATCAGGGAGTTGACAATCTCTTATCTCATTTAACACCCCCTGTCGCCAACCTCGCACTGGGCGTCCCCTACGTCTCCTCCCAGGAGGAACCCAATCAAGCATCTTTTTTGGCAGCCTCTCTTCCGTCATCCTATTGACATGACCATACCAAACAAGTTGTTTGGTCATGACGTCGAACACGATGTCATTTTCGACTTCCATTATCTGACGCACTCTATCATTACGGACCCGATCTCTCCTAGAAATTCCTGCTGACCTTCTCCAGAAATCCATCTCCGTTGCTCTTAGCATATCCTGTGTCCGTTTCTTCAGCTGCCAAACTTCACATCCGTATGTTAATATACTTTTGACTACAGCGTTGTATATCCTCCTCTTGTTATCTTTGGAAATCCGCTGATCCCAGAGGATTCCATTTAACATCGCTATAGCCTTCCTTGCTAAGGTGTTCCTTTCCCTGATAGCTTGATCCGTCCTTCCATCCTGGGTCAACCGCACTCCCAAGTACTTAAAGTGCTCGCAGCCTTTGATCTGCTGCCCATCCTCCAACTCAATGCTTTGCTGATCACCGCCAAAAGTCATCTTCTCAGATTTGGATATGCTGACTTCCAGACCCCACTTCCGATACTCTTCTACTAGCTTGCGCATCATGTATTCCGCGTCATCTTGATCTTGAGCAACCACCACCTGGTCATCAGCAAAGCACAGAGTAAACAGAGTTTCGAGATCACCCAAGGGGACACCCATACCAGAGCATTTCTTTTTCCATTCTTTTAGCACGCACTCGAGATAAATTTTAAATAATGTTGGCGACAAACAACATCCCTGTTTTAAACCCTTAGTCACATAAAATCCCGCTGACAACCCCCCATGGCACTTAACTTTGGTAAAACTCCCTTTATAAAATCGCTTAACAGCGTCAATCAACCCCCCGTTAAAATTCGATTTTTCCAAGGCCTCCCAAAGTTTCACCAACGGCACGCTGTCATACGCCTTCTGGAGATCCACAAAAATTAAATGCAGTTCCTGAGCTACGGCCATTTTCTTCTCAATGACCTGGACAATAACAAAGAGGTGATCTATCGTAGACCTGCCAGCTCTAAAACCAGCCTGCTCCTCTGCTTCGTGATCCTGCCATTCGTCCTCGATCTTCGCTTTCAGTATCTTCCCGTACACTTTGCTTATTGTCCCGGTCACTGAGAGCCCCCGGTAGTTGTTACAGTCGTCCTTCCTTCCCTTCTTTTTGTAGATGGCCTTGATCCAAGACTCCTTCCACTCCCTTGGTACCTCGTCACCCCTGATGCATTGTTGCATCAGTTTTCTGAGGCACTCAAAGAGCTTGGCAGTCCCGTACTTGACCAACTCGACAGGAATCCCACCAGGACCCGGTGCTTTGTCATTTTGCAGCTCTTTGACCGCTTTAATTATGTCACAAGTGTGGATCTCCAAGTTGTTCATTCTTCCGTTGTCCGTGCTGTTGTCTCGAAACTCTGGGCGCCTTTCCGTCAAAAGATCTTTAAAATGATCCTCCAGTTTTTTAAGTGATATCGGAGAAACGATGTCGCGCTTCATGTCTCTACGCAAACCTTTAATTAACTTCCAGCTCTCAGCACTTTTTCTCCCCCCTAGGTAGGTGTTAATTCTAGAACAGTTGCTTTCCCAAGCTTCATTCTTCTTCCGTGTTATGAGGCTCCTAACTTTAGACTGAGCTTTCCTGTAAGCAACTTTATCTTCAGTCTTTTTAGACGACAGAAATATAAGGTGTTTTTGCCTCTTAAGATTTATCTCGTCTTCAATTTCTTCATCCCACCAGTAAGGATGCTGGTATTTATTACTGGTTTTGTGAACACCTAGGGCTTCTTTCGCTGCAGAGTGGATACAATCTTTGATGAACTGATATTGCTCTTCCGTGGTACCCGAGAGTCCATCCCCCAGCTTCTCATCTAAGCGTTTCCGATACAGAGCCTTGACACTAGGGTGCTCCAAACTTTCGATGTTATACCATACTTCATGATTTTGCGTTCCCTGACTCTGCTGTTGCTCAGGCATTGGCTCTTTACCTTTAATCCCTTTAACGGGAAACGCTATATCTGCTCGGAGGAAATGATGATCACTGCCGCAAGAGAGTCCCCTGCACACTCTAACTTGCTGCAATTTCAACTTAGTAGTGTGCTTTACAATTATATAATCGATGATGGATTTCAATCCTCGCGTTGGCTGGACCCAGGTATACTTATGGATGTCTTTGTGTTGAAAAAAGCCATTCAAAATTTTCATCTCAGTTTGAGAACAAATTGAGATGAGCCGATCACCGTTATCATTAACAGCATCCTCCCCAAACGGTCCAACAACTTTACAGTTTACTCGTCGTCCCGTTCTGCTGTTCAAATCACCCATAAGAATGGCTTCCCTGCCAGCACCAACGTTCAGTATTTCATCATTCAGATCTTCGAAGAATTGGTCCTTACATGCGACAGTGGCATCATCATTTACACCGTATACTCCGAGCAGCGTGATCTTATGTCCGTACAGGTTAAGGTTCATTTTGATAATGCGCTGGTTGACGGCCTCCCAAGTGCCCACGAACTTACGTAGGCTTCTCCGCAAAAGTATTGCTACTCCTTGCTGAGCACGCTGATCTTTGGCTACGCCGCTGTAGAATAGATCATAGTCACCGTAATTCTCTGACCCGTGCCCTTTTTTCTTGGTCTCAGTAAGAACAGCGACATCCACTCCAAGTTTCTGAATCTCCGATATCACTTCCGGTAACTTATTTGAAATGCCTTGGACATTCCACGTCCCAAATACCATTGTCCGTTTTCTCAATTTTTGTCGACGTGTCCGTTTAGTTGTAGTGGTACCGAGGCTTGTATTGTTAGGTCGTTTAACAGTAAAACTTTTTACAAGTACCGGGGAGTTAGCCCGATGACTCAACCCCCAACCTGGAGGACCAGGGTTTGATTTCGGAGTTGCCTCTCCTAGACAGGTTGCTTTCACTTCAGCTCAGAGCCCTGTCTGCCCTTCTAGCAGGTGGTTCATACGCCCAGAGGCCGGTGACCATCTCCACTGCCCCCTTTGAGGCAGGGGCTACCAGCTGGGGTCCGCAGGATTGCTAAACCTGTGACAACAGTCCCCCATACGGGGGCAAATTGTAGGCATTATTTTTGATAAAAATGAAGATGCATGATTTTTAAAACACTCCAAGTAGGTTGGTTCCCTTCTGTTAAATGCGATCTAAATCAAAGATTTTTGGAGACCGTTTCAATCAAAATTCAATTTTATTTCCCATTTATTCCAGACATTTCCTGTTGCTTGCTTTTGCAAGGATCATGGAACGACTTTATTTATCATCTTTAAATTACTTAATAGGAGCAAATAAGAGCAAAAAAATAATACTACTAGGAGCACTGCCGAGTGTGATCTGCTGATGAGGTCTAAAAAGGCCCAAACCGGTATAGATCTCTCGGCGTGACTCCAACTTAATATTCCAATGCAAACTGCCTGACCTGAACACTCTCCCCCCTCAGTTTCGTACTGGTATGCATTAGAGTTCAAAAAATTTAATTTTGACTCTAATGGACCACTAGATAAGGTACGAATTTCAGCATTCTGATACATGTTTCTTAACCAAAATTTTACGTAAAACACGATGCACACAACGAAAATTCCCGAAATTAACTCCTTACGAAGATATTTAATGATTCTTAATGCGTAAATTCAAACCACCCGCTCATGAAAACTCAATGCTCTACGTGATTCACATCGCGCGCTAAACGTTATCATGACAGTCTCTGCGATATAAAAATCTGGCAACCTCAATCTTGACGCTTTGGCTCAGTTATAGCAAATTGCTAATAGTTTGAAGAACACATGATGGGAAATGAACATTGCTCGATTGAGAAGCTTGCTGAAACCGTTGTAGTGGGCGATTTGACTCACGTAGAGTTTTGAGTTTCTTGTGAGCGGGCAGTTCAAATTCCTCGTGACCAATGTGAAATAAAAACGTTAATATCTTCGTTAGGTGTTGGTTTCCGGAATTTTCGTTGTGTGAATCGTTTTCTACGCTAAATTCTGGTTAAGAAATATGTATCAGATCGCTTAAATTCGTACCTTGTCTAGTGGTCCATTATAATTGTTGGAACTTCTTGGCTTTGTTTTCCCCGCAAAATGGTGTGGACCCAGCACCATTTCTTCACCTTGTTAAAAATGGGATAGTTGCACCATAATCTTTTGTCCTTTCATGTAACCTCAAAAATTCAACTGAAACGGAATGCTACTTTCTAACTCCTGTGTCGAATGATGCATCTTAGTTTGATTGATCTATTGTTCCAGTGTTCCAAGTGTATTGTTCCATCCAAATTGCCTCTTTATTCACTTTTACTAATCCCTCATTTGTTCCTACAGATAATGAAAGGTTTCGACAGAGTTTTGGTGGATGCACCCTGTTCTGGCTCCGGAGTTGCATCTAAAGATCCCAGTGTAAAATCTAGTAAGGATCATAGCGATATCCAGCGATGTTTCAATCTGCAACAAGATCTCTTACTTGCGGCCATCGATTGTACTAATGCCAAGTCACCCACAGGGGGATATATAATTTACTCCACGTGTTCAATATTGGTGAGTACTAAGGGCCATTCCTGTCAAATCATTTAACTAGTAGTTGACTGTCTGTTAAGGTCCAACTAGAGGTTGGTGTGTCTTGTCAATTTACAACTACTGGTTGAGAGGCTGTTAACAGGCTGAGTTTCAACTGGTGCTTTTTCTGCCTGTTAGACTTCAACTAGGACTTCAGACAAAACATTGGTTCCGGTTCTTCGCGTTTCACTAGTTCACAAAGAGCCTGATTTAACTACCTGGGCTCGGGTTGTGGACCCCACCACCCGCACCCTCCTCTTTGCAAGGGTTGTTTTGTCGTCTCTTTCAACTGCTAATTGAATTTTCGGCAAGGGTTCCCAGACATTAGATACGACCTGATGTAAGATATGAGGGAACAAATCATGTTAATGCACTATTTGGCAAGTAGTCTTTGTCCAGTAACTAGAGGTTGAAAATCAGTGACAAGACTCTCCTTCAGGTCGAACTAGAAGTTACCTTTAACTGGTAGTTCGTCAACTAGCAGTTGAGACCCGATTTGACAGGAATAGCCCTAAATTACCTGTAATGCATCGTCCAGTAAAAAGAGATCAACAGTAGTGATGAAATTAATCCAAAGAAAGAGTGGCTTCTATTTTCCAAGGTGGAACTGTAAGTTTGGAAAAAGCCAAGTATTACTTTCGATCACCGAAATTTTAAAATACATACCTCTCGATACTTCAGACGCATCAGTCGTACTTTTTTTAAAAATATAAGAAAAACACTCTGTTGCTTAAAGAAATTTGTGATCTTTGTTTACTTCTTTGTCAAAATGCTTTTTCTGACTGCAAGATTGCGCCAACTTTATAGTAAATCCAACTGGCAACTTAAACCTTATTCTGCTCACTGATATTAGTGGAGAGTAGTCAAAACTGCATGAGTACTTCTGAATTAATGACGTTGATGGTTGCTCCTTAACTGTGCTAAATAACCAAATCAACGAGCGATAGAGATGCTGTGAATAATAAATGCTTCACTTTAAATTAAAATTAATTGCATTTTTTCTTTACTGACTTTTTACAGCCTGAAGAGAATGAACTTGTTATCCAAAAAATTTTGGCCAAGAGGCATGTTAAATTAGTAGAGACTGGTCTTGATTTTGGAAACGAAGGTTTTACGAAATTTTTAGCACACAGGTTTGTATTTTTAAGATTTTTCCTCATAATGTCTAACAAGTTATCTTGATTTTCATAATCATTAAGGAACAGGCTCATTTATTTGGAATAAAAATCCTCACCTCATGTATTACCTTTGCCTGGGAGAAAAGAGAGGTTGTAACTGGTCAGTTTTATGACGCCAAACTAGTAGATATTTACTAAAAGCAAAAATCATCTCTGCGCCATCAGAGCATTGATAAGGGAGTCAGTCGCCGCATGGACCAAACAGAGTGGCCCTGGATTAGCCAAAGTTGCATTAGCGGTGCGTTTGAATCTGAGTACAGTAACGATTGTCGTTATTTAGCTTTCATTTCCTCAATTATCAGACAATGTCATTTATGGAATAGTTAGTTTTCTCAAGTGAAATCTCATCTTCTTTTGAATAGGTTCTTATGGATTTTTGCATTAGATTAACTGTGAGAAGATATCAGCACGAAAGGAACATGCGTTATGCATTCTCCCATAAGAACACATGTTAAACCGAGGCCGAGTTTCATCTACTAGCTAGACGTTACAGAAACGTAGTTATAGCCTCTCCATTCTTGTAGGCAACAGCGTTACTTGGATTTTAAGTCTTTTCACAGTTTCTATTTCTTTGAAAATTTCCTCCTGTACCTATCGTTTTAGCTGCTAAAATAGCTGTGCTGAATAGAAATTATTGTCAACTTCAGAAATGAACATCTGAAAGACTTATGCAAAAAATGTGCAATCAGACCACTGATAACAGAATTCATAATGCCCTCACTTAGCTATTCCTCTTTCTAATTGTTACAAATTTTTTTTTTTTATTTCCTCTATCAATATTTCAATAGAACTCTTCAGCGATTCTATGGACTCTTGGATGCATAGAGTTCTTTTCATTCGCAAAAAATCTCGACCAAAGATTTGCAAAATATTGTAAAAGAATAGTAACTTTCAATCAGCTGTCTTCACCTCAGCATCTTTCATCCAGAATTAATCATCTTTGTCATTTTGACAATACTTCTCTGATTTAAATGATTTTCTCCTCTTTTCAGATTCCATCCATCAATGAAATTAGCTCGGAGATTTTATCCCCACACACACAATATGGATGGTTTCTTTGTCGCAAAGTTGAAGAAAATATCCGACAAAATCCCCACGACTGATGTAGAAGAAATGGACGAAGATGAGGAAAGATGGTTCATGAACGAAAATCCTGATTACATTTTACCTTAATTTTACCCAATTATTTTTCATTATGTATCTATCTGTACATATCCTTTTGTAATTTTTTTGTTTTCATAATGAGGATGAAAATAACACTGTATGTTTTTAAAATTGTCTTTTAACGTATTTTTAATTGTGGCTCAAAGAATGATTTTGGCGGAACAGTATTTAAAAAATTAATCCTTGGGATAATCGAGCACCGTCAGTTCGGTAAATGTAAGTTATTTTCTTGCAATTATCTATTCCATTCAAGTAGGGTCATTACTCATTACACAAATTTTTTAAATTAATATTCTGAAAGTACATATAAAATAAGTAGACACAAGATCTTTTGATATTTCATTTAATTAAATTTTGAGTGAGGAAAAGACCAAAGTCACCAAAAATCCAACTCTATTTCAGGAAGAAAAATGGAAAATGTTTTAGCTGTGTTCAAAAGAAGATTGATAAATTTTCAAGGCATCAAGTAGAGAGTCTGATTTCATTAAAGCCTGCAACACATGGAGTAACTTCGGTTTTCAAATTTTTCAAATGAAGAAGAGACAGAAGTAAAAAAGCTGACTTCTAATTACAATGGTAAAATAACTTTATTTTCCAAAAATTCCAAAATAAATTACTGTGATGTTACAAAAATAAAACATTCCAACGAGTCAAAAAGTTTGTATGTACAATTCACAATCCCTTCAGTTTAAAACAAAATATTTATGAATTGTAAGATGGAAATTTTGGCTACAGCTAGTGTCCCCCCCCCCTTTTCCCATTTTTTTTTCCTTTCCACTTACAAGAATTCTGTAATGAGAAATAATGTTTTTACTCTTCACTGTGATACACAGAACTTGACACATTATTAAATACTAATATGCTCTAGCGACTGATGGTGAACTTGACACTTCTTAATCAGTTTTCAAATTAATTTCAGCCACTTAAGCCGTCTTATCTTAAATGCAGAGGTGAAAGTGCTGAATCTGCAGCAAACAAATCAACACTGAAAAAAGTCTTGTATTATGACCATGCCTAAAAGTAGAGGAGTTCAGAAATCCTCTACATATAGCCAGCTGGCTCCTTTGAAAACTCTAAACACCAGCAGAAACAATGTAACCAAAAAAGGTGTACACTAAACTTTCAACACCCTAACTGACTAAACCTAACTGATCCAAATAATCAATGAAGAAACCAATGCTCAACTGTAAAAGAATATTCGTAAAGCATGTATTGTATTACAAATATTAATAAAACACATGGTTGGACAATCGGAGAAAACGAATTTACATTACAGTTGTAAGACAAGGAGGTCAGAAGGCACTACCTAACCTTTTCTGCACTTCACACCTGTTGGTTTAGGGCTACGATATAAATCCGGATCAATGTGCAATGCAGAAAAGATTAGACACAGCCTCTCTTGTATTCCCAATGCAAATCATTTTAGCCGTGCGGATTCACAGATAATACTAAACCGTCAACTATATGTATTCTCTTTGCACCTTTTTCACACCAGTACTTGAACTCTGATGATTTGAGATACCACCAGGAAGAGAAATTACAGTGTGTTTCAGGTCAGCATTTTGACTGTCCACACTGACCAAAGCGATCCAAAATCAAGATAATAGGAAGTTTTGTGTATTGAAGTTGCACTTGCTTCGTATACTTCAAATATGTAGTGTTATGACAGTGTGGTTACAATGCCTCAGACAACTTAGATGAAAACTTAGAAAACCCATCAGGTAATATAAGCAAGTAAAACCAATTGCTATGGTGGCAAAAGTTTTTGCTGCGTGATTAAAACATAATAAATGAATAAACCAACTCCACCACCTTTTCTTTCTTTTTTTTTAATTTCGACGCAAAGAATAAAAAAAAATTGAGTGGCCTAAAAAAAAAAGGATTCCATACTTTTGTAATGAATATCACACATGAGATAACCTAATGGATCACTAGACAGAATCTGAACTAGAAATTAATGTAACATGAATTTTCCTCAAAATCTCTCATGCAAAACGAATCATACAACGGGAGTTTCGGAAATCAACTCCTGAATGGGATATTAGCAAATATTTTGAACACGGATCAAATGGAAGTCCAATCATACAAATGACGTCATTCGTATTTTTGTCATTTAACCAATGTTAATAGTAAACACTTATAACTTGTTTAGGATTTGATTTTCAGACTTCCTGATGCGTGATTTCGTTTCGACAAAAACGAAAAGAAATTTTGAAGAGAAACCATCTTTTTATTCGTTTTATTTCATACCTTGTCTAGAGCCCCACTTGCCTTCAAGAGCTGAATTTTTTCACTGGGCCTCTCTTTCCTTAAATTAGGAAAAAAGTTGATACTTTTTTCTGTAAATATCATCATCGCAATTCAAGGAATTCTAAAAAACACTTTAAAAACTTCTACAACAAAACTAAAAAAAAAAACAAAGTTGAAAAAAACTAACTGTGAGTTGATAATATGTACCTACTTAAGAATAAATAGTGACATTAGAAAAACGGGCATTAAATGAAAATATAGGCACATCTTTATGGTCTTCTTCATAGTTTTTCCTCAAACAGCTAACGTTACTTACTAAGTTTACGTTTTCACTACATGGAGTCTGAGCAGAGGACTGAATGAAATTTAACAATCCTCTTAACAGGATGTCCTGGTCCTGCTGTGAGGAGAGAATGCGAGGGGATAGTAGACTTGGCTCCTGAATGTACCGAAGAGGTCAAGTTGACTAGACTTTTTACTTGTGTACAATTAGACCGTGTGAGTCAACTCCTCATTTCTTCAGCTTCAGAAATGAAGGGTCATTGATACACATAATAGTGGTACGGAAATTCAACTTCAGTTAAAACGTTGCAACGATGACATCGATTTGCTCTTGAGTTTCAATTTTTGGAAGATTTTGAAACACTTCATTGAATTGGCTGGAACAAGTTTTTTCATCTGAAAACGGAAATAGGGAGAAAAATTAACTTAAATACATGATAATTGAGGCAAAACAAACTGAATGTGGATTTAAAATCTGTCAAATGTGACTCTTCACCTATATATTAATTAACATCAGAAATCACGTCAGTGATTCTGCAAAAATTTGAAGCTGCAATTAACAGGATACTTATGGTTCGGTCTCCTTTAATGAAATATAGTGAGGATGGGGAGTTAGAAAATCGGCAAACGAGAGTTGAATTTTTACAATGCCGCCATCCATCAGCATCTTTCATGCACTTCTAAGAGTTGTGATGGTGATCTTTGGGAAATCCTGAGGATCACTGATTCTTTCGCATTAAATAAGAGAGGAAGAGTATAATAGTCTTCCCTATTTGACACTTAAGTTCATTATTTTAAAGCACCAAGTAAAGGAGATGTGACAGGGATAAGTGTATTTTCATGAATTCCAGAATTCACTTCAAAATATTCAAGTCATGCTACTTTACTACTGTCTGAAGTAATATCTGAAAGGAAAAATTTGAAGCTCAATTTTGGCTCTTTGAAAGTAAGTCTTACTGTTACATTTAAAAAAATTAGTGAAAGATGAAGTCACAGTCAGAGTGGAAAAGCTGGATGTCTGGAGAAAAACTAAGGGTGCTCTCTGATTGAAACAATAATCATTATGACGAAAATTTCTCTAAAATGAAAGAATCGTCAGGCTCTTTGAACTTTCTATGGTAATAATGGCTGCTCGTTAAAAAAAAATTATCAAGAACGAAAATTTGTTCCGTCCGTTGCCGATTCGTTATATAGAGAGAGAGCGGACAAGTATTATTTACTTTATTTTAAGAAAAAGGAAATTGAGCTTCTTCCTGGCAAATAATATTTGTGTAGTAAAAATAATCATACTCACTAAAATCAGTTTTTTTGGATTCCACAATTTTGTGAACGATTCCACGGGTTAAATTCTTGAACAAATCTTTTGATGCGATTCTCTTACGATGGTAATGCGGCATCAAACATTTTACAATTACATCCGAAACATTCCGTTTCGACAAATGCTTTTTTCCTTCCGTACCTTTCTCTTTCTCAGATTTAATGCTGCGGCTTCTTTCAAGATTTTTAGCTTTGACTGCTACTTTGGCTTGTGCTGGTGATTGTTTACAGGCAACATCTGCATTGTCATTACTATTATAAAAGTTGACGTTTGGAGAGAGACAAGATTTTGAACTAACTTCGGCTTTTGGGGAATTTATAGAAGCTGCTTCATTCTCTTGATTACTCTCATAAGATTTCAGTAGTTTCTTAGAAGAAATGAAACCTCCATGAGGTCTGTTTGGTTCTGAAACTAATCCTCCTCCTTCTTTGAGGGTAGGATCTTCGTCTTCCCCAAAGAGTGCCATGTATATTTTCTTTGTATTTTCTTTTTTCACCTTTTTCTTCATTGGGGACAACAAAGAACTAGAGCTGGTTGCTTCATGCATAGCTTTCCTTTTTGCGCTATTTGAGATGTCACTTTTGCACTCATTAGTTTCATCGTGCGTTACTTCATCTACAATTAAAGCATCGTCTGAGTTCTCAGAGTCAGAAATTGTATGGCAAGAGACAGAATTTTTAGACCTAAAATCAGTTGAAGCTTTATAATCAGTTCCGTTAGCTTTTGAAGAACATTCAGTCTCTGAAGATGGGTATGTTTTGCTTCCTGATGGTACCAAAATATCTTCAGAAGAGGAGAGAGCACAACTGGAACCAACGCCACTATCGTTGTAACTTTCTTGCAGTCTATTATCCTTATCGTTAGAGTTCGAAGATGACTGATCTCTAAAATCAGAGTCAGAGTTTGAAGACTCAGACCCAACATTTTTGGCTACATTGCCATCACCTTTCAGAAATGATTTCACCGACTGCTGTGAGAGGAAATCGCGACCGATACCTAGTCGTTTTCTGGGCTTTGTATTTGAATTGAAATTAGGAAGCAGTTGAGAAGCAGGAATAATGGTCGTTGGGTATTTGGTTGCTTGTTTTTTCTTAATGTCTTCCATTGCATCTCTTAATGTCCCTTTGTCTTTGGTTGGGGTAAATGTTTTGAGCTCCTTGAAAAGTGATAGTGCATTAGTCGCTTTGACAATTTCTGATTTCTGTTGTAAACAAGAAAAAAAGTAAGAATTAAAATTAATGTTTTCATGGAGGAACGTTAAATTAAAACAATGGCAAAGACAATTTTTTGTGACAGTTATTTAAAAGCTGGAACCTAACGCATTTCCATGTCACATTTCACAACGTTAAGGTAATTTGAGAGGCTCTTCTATGAAATAGAATTGGTCTACAGCCAGATAATGTTCCAATGACAATCAATTCAATTTAATGATCTGTACATGTGGATATAAAAAATTTATCGAATAATTGGTTTTATTTCAAAATGTCAGAAACCAGGACCTGACGCCAAGGAAAATACAAGAACGCTATCTTGTGCCAGCAGTTGATGGTATACCAAGTTGCAGGGGAAAAAAAAATTTGATGCTCTATATCATTGATTCGAGCATATTTCTTGTTGAATGGTTAATAGTATCTTTTTAATTACTTACAGAAATTTAAATTGTTTCATAAGATTTCTTATACTATAAAATGAGAGGAAAGGATATGAATGCTTTAAATTGATTTACTTTTCTCTTATGTAGAAAAAAACAACCGATAGATCCTCTATGAGCCCTGACACAGTATGAAAACAATCTGAGGTATTGCTCAGACGGAACTGTTATCAGAACAATTTTTATCAGCTTTAACAAATGCACACTTCAATGAAGAGTGATAATTTAAGATAATTGATAAATGGTAAGATGGAAAAATCTACAGAAAATTTCTGCATATGTCAGTGCAGAGATGTGTAGAATATGGATAACATAATAAAATTCCAGAAAATTAAAGAAAAATCATTTTTATGAAATATACATACCTTTTTTGCAGCTAAATTTCTGTAGGTGGCAAGAACTTTTGAGGCGGTAAATACCTCATACTCTACAAGTGTGGCAAACTCCTCCAAATCTGATTTACTCAATTGAAGTGGTTCATCTTCAAAACTATTGCATTTATTATAATTATCCTCTAAACAACCTTTGAAAAGGTCGACATATGACTCACGAGTCTGTAAAACGGAGAATAAAATCACACAAATCAACAATCTTTTTTGAAAATTTTTAAACCGCACACAGGATGAGATCGAGGATCGTTGAGGGGGAAAAGAACCGTTTTACAACCAGGAGGAAAAAAATTTAGCTTGTAAAGAAATTCAGAGAACTGAATTGGGCTGTTTGTGTGAGTAATAGGAATTACTATTTTGCATGCGCAGAATTATGGGCCTTACAAACTACATTCATACATGCTCCCCTGTTTTTCTAAATTTCTGGCATAATAAAATAGAGCATTACCAGCAATTGTACTTGATAAGTTTCATGAAGTAGAATTCTTGCTAGCATTGCGTACAAAAAACGAAAAATTTCATTTTCAGAGGAAAATTATTTCTGTTCAAATACGAGATAAGAAACACAAATTCGATCTCACGTCAATATAAGTTGACTGACAAAATAAAGATATACTTACAGTTATTTTAAGGCCATTGACTTTCACTTTAGTGCTGGCGGCAGCTTTTACGATTGAGTATGTTGCATCGTTTTCATTATCCGGATCGTTTGAGGATTGTGAGCCTCTGCGCAGCTGAAACTGCTTTTTTATTTCCTTTAGCAGCTCTTCATCTTTTTGCTGTTCTCTTTCTCCTTCTTCGAAATAATTCTCCCTGAAACTAAAATATGAATTCCAGACATTAAGACCTCAAAAGAATGTTTGAAACTTTCCTACAGTTATTATTACTTGTAAAGGAATATGATCCAGAAAAGAAGAAATTAAACCATTGCACTGAACTAAAAATGTAACTTATTTGCAACTTTTGGTTCAAGATCTTGCTAAAACCATCGCAATATTTTCTCCAGACTATCAATATATCCTCTTCAGATTCAGTTTTGAAATACCATTTGTGAAATCACATTCTTTTTTTCTCTGTTACAATAGAACTTCTGAAAAAATCCAGATTTTTCAGAAATTCTTTGAGTGACTGAAGAAATAAATGGTTCTGGGATAAGACTGAGGTGTGTTTTTCCAATACCATCTCAACTTAGGGAGATTGTTTTGAGATGGGAAGTTGATTTTAGAGAAAACCAGAGGCATAATCATGTTCTTGGCAAAATTTTCCAGAGAAAGAAATTACTAGATTAGAGGTGCCCACTGTATGTAAACGGGATAATTCTTAATATTAAGACTAGACAAAAAAATTAAGTGATTGATACAGTAAAAAAATTAAGTAATTCCACTAATGCTCAAGTTCACTATCTTCCAACTTATGACCAACTCAGTCTTATCCCATCAACATAGATAAAATTTCGACCAACAAGTTGCTTGAAAAAAGCGATGAAATTTAGTCAAACATCAGAGACAAACGTTACCTGGATAAACCTCGCCTTCCTTCTCCATACAGTTCATCGAAGTTTTCATTGAACTTTCCTTCCGTCACAACCATTGTGCGACCTCCGTATTGTCTGTATTCACCATTTACAAGAGCATTAAACTCATCTAAATTCTTCTTTGCCATTTTAGGGAATTTGCATACATCACATTTATCCACACATTTCGGTTTTGAATCCCCAAAGTACTCAGCAAACACTAAATGCCGGCACCTGAAAACGAGTAAAATTTTTATACAGTTAGGCACAACTTGGCACCAAACAAAATGTTTAAAATGAGAGAGGTATTGGCTAGAACTTGAAAAAACTATTGTATTGGACTCATCCTTTTTCACTGATGGTGTTATTTTCTCTAGATTAAAGGTTTTGATACAGTTCCGCTCCTGAGATAAAAATCCAAGAAGAGCTCCTCAGATATGTCTAAAGAAAGAAGTGTTGAACATGTTCTGTGCAAATGCGTTTAAACAGTTTTTTCTCCACTGCTCCAGCAAAACACAGAATAAAGGGAAAACTTCAGACTAAAAATTAAAATCAAGATGAACAATATCTTCAACCTAAAATTTGCATGAATTGCATGCAGGTATGGCATTGCAGATAAAATAAAGACTGCAGTCATTACACTATAGAAGATCAGATATACTTAGACGAAACGATGTTGTTAAAGGGCAGATAACTAAGAATTAAGGTGGGAAGTCCTTGCAAGGTAGAATATTTTAATGGTCCCTTTAAATTTTTTTAAAAGCAACAGCCCCAATTTTTAAAACCTGTTTTCAGGACCTCCCTACTTTCAAACGAAGCCTGCCAGTCACATAGTCAAGAAGTTTCTGCTTCTTTGCAGAATCAAAGATACATTGTGCGATTTCAGAGCCGCCTCTATGATTCCATGCCTACAAATCAATTAAATTTGATGACAAGTATTTAATGACAAATATTTGATGATTTTTTCCATTGAACAACCTTCACATGAATTAGTTACCGTGATATTAAAGTGACATAAGTACCTGGCTTTTTCGCAGTATTCAACCATTTTCTCGAAAGATTTCTGAGTTTCTTTTACTTTCTGTTCCTGATCAGGAGTTTTGGCTTTGTTTAGTTCTTGTTTGAGAATAAAGGTTAATGCATTCCTGGAATTTAGCGAGTAATAAATGCGGCAGAAAGCAGGTTTGCCATCACGACCAGCTCGACCAGATTCTTGATAATATCCAGGTACATTTGCTGGTACGCCCCAATGAATCACAAATCTAAGAATAAGAGGAAAAAAACAAGGGTCATTAGAGTTTTTCCTTCAGACAACCTTCATAGAATTTTTTCCACAACTTAAGAATGTTGGGTGAATGATCAGAACTTCAAAAAAGAAAGTGATAATTACCTCACTGAACCTTTGTCTACACCCATTCCAAAACTGACTGTTGCAGCAATAACTTCAAATTCGCCAGCTGTCCACCTTTCTTGAACCTCTTTTCGTTCCGATTCTTTTAAACCTACGTAAAATCAAAATGTTTGAGATCATAAAGAAAATCTTCAGTCAAGAAAGCAATAAACAACATATCATGAACCCACAAAATATATTCAAAGATAACTGGGAAACAATGTATTTCCATTGTGATGTTTTAAAATATTCTCTCTTGTTTTGTACATTCAAAGGGAAGCAATCCAACATCATTTGTTGAAAATTATAGATAAACAGAGGAACAAATTTTGGAAACTTCCAATAAATTTTGTTGATGAATTTTTCGCTTAGAAATAAAGTATGACAGCAAGTCTGCAATGCTGCAAAGTAAGACACATTGTTCCCAATTTCATCTCCCCAATTATTTAATTTTACCCTAAATCCATTTTCTTGGAGCTATTTTGACTGCAAAAAAAAGTAAAAAAAAAATTAAGAGAAAAAATTAGGATTCTATATTATGATAGTTATAAACCTAATAAACCTCTTACCTGCATGGTAAGCCACAGTTTTAATTCCTCTATCATTAAGAACTCTGGCAATATCTTCTGTTAAATCCCTTGTTCTACAATAAATTATTCCAACACCTCGCTGGCTCTAGACACAAAAAATATCATAGGAAGTTATCAAAAACTGTTCTTTGATATTGATTCTCCAAAGTTCAAGAAAATGAATGATTGCAGATTGAGAAAAATGCTTAAGTCCATATTCTGCATTAGTTTGAAATAAATATGATAAAAATTCAGCATACATGACGAATGACAGATTCAAATTTTGGTTGATGCATACATTTTTATGCTCGAAGTACAAAAGTATGTGACGAAAGACCTTTCAACAACCAATAGTGTGAGATGTACAAAAACCGACGTCATGTATTAATTTACTCTTTGCAGATTAAAAAATGAACAAATGGCTGGAGCTACTTAAAAATTGTGCATGTGGCAAAATGTTAAGTTCAGGCTCGAGGTTTTCTGAAAAAATGTTTAGCTCATAATAGGAATATGATGCTTTGAAAATGTATGATGAGAATAAGATTCTGATTCTAAGATTATAGCTTAAGAAAAGAAGATGCGAGTTCGTCCTTCAATCTTACGAACCAAAGAATGATTGAGATATGTTCGGCAGCGTACAGATGCCATTTGACTCACCAGTTTCATATCTTTTGTATTATCTTTTAGACAGTTTTTTATGTATAATTTGAGATCTTCATAAGAGTTCCGAATCAAATCATCATAAACAACATCATAATAAAGATTGCTTCGGAAACAAGGCACTTTGAATGACAGAGGGTCCTTCAACTGCAGCTGCGTGATTATATCTTTGACAACCTGGAAGTAATGGATGAGCTTTAAAGGAAAATCAAAAGGGAAGATAAAGAGGTGCTAATCTCCAAAACATGTATACCTCAATATATGTTAGTGGTAGTTGCTGGTTAGGCATTGCAGAGAATACATAAAAGCTAATAAAGCAATATCTTCATATTTTTTTGTTAACTCTGACTGGGAAAGAAACTCTGTTTTGAAAATGCCAAAAATGGAACCCGTTTGGTACAATATTTTAGACAAGCTTTGATGATGAGGCCCGGTAGGGGAAACAGCGTTTGCTGATTGGCTGCAGCTGCACTCAGCTTGAGACAATCGCCTTGCTATGTCAACTCGACGGTTGGTTTTTGAATGGTTGGATTGTGATTAGCTTTTTCTCCCCTCGGACATGATTTTTTAAACTTTTTAAAGAGAGTTTTTGTTTTTTTACAAAATTTCATGAAGGAAAAATTATGTTACAACCTAGCAAAAACCACTGTCCCATATTGGTTAAATATTCTTTTTGGATCGGAATTGTGGGAGCGAGACCAATCCACACAGGTCAGTCATTCCCGAGGACGAATTTTGGTACTCCACTGCGCAGTGACGTAGTATTGAGTGCATACAATGTATTTCTTATGGGTGCACTCAATAGTACGTCACAATGAGTGCTGCGAGTTAGGGCCGGGCGGGGGAGTGGATTTCAAAAAAGCTGCGCAATGACTGACCTGTGTGGATTGGTCTTGTGTGGGAGGAATAAAATAAATACTTGACACTAGGTATGAGTTAACCATCAAACCTTCCTAAATCAATGATACGTTTTACAGTATTTTTTGGATAATATAACAATACTAACAACAACAAAATGTGAGTACTTACCACCGCACTGGCTGTTGCAGTAAGAGCTATCCATGTGACGCCAGGGACCAAAGAGCGTAGGGTCCCCAATTTAAGATAATCAGGTCGAAAATTATGACCCCACTGACTTACACAATGTGCTTCATCGACCACGATGTAAGATACTTTATTGTATTTGTGGAGATCAGACAGAATGCCCTGCAAAATCATTTGGTTTGAATATAAGCATCATAGAGAATTTATTACTTGATATCGATCGAAGAATTAAAGTTTGACTGTTGTAAGGTTCAACTGTCATTGCATACTTTACTCCTTGCCCTGACAAGTTTTTTTTTTTTTTTTTTTTCTTTTGTTTCATACCGTACAATAAGAAAAGTCTATACTGAGAACTAATTAAGGTTCTTAAAATTATGAAAAAGGTCACACCTTAGCAAAACACTCAATTGAGATGAATTTTTTAATCTTTTTAGCACTTCTGCATATTGTTTTGAAGCTAAACGACCAACTACACATCAAACATGACCACAGACATCAAGAAATTAACATAATGAAGAATGATTCCTCATCAGATTTTATAGAGAATACCGTAGAGATTGAAAATTTCTAAATTTAACTCAAGGGTGAAAAGATAGAGTATTTATGTTTGTTGATTGAAATTTCATGGGGTGCAAAAAAGAATCAAAGCCTACTCAAGTCAAATGAAGTATGCAGTAAACTGATTTCAGCGAGATTAACAACAAAATAAGTTTATTACCCTGAAAGTTTGTGTGGCTGCTTGCTCAGGTGTGACATAGAGCAACTTGGTGTTGGGAACTTTACACCTCAGATCATTTATTACTCGAGTTCTTTCCTTGCTACCCATTTTTGAATTGATAGTTTCTGCAACGATTTTCTTTTTCGTCAATTGATCAATTTGATCCTGAAAATATAGAATGGATTGAATGTATTTACTTCATAGAGAACGTGCTAGCATGCTGCCTAAAAAAAGGAGAGTAGAAAGTTCTTGCTGTTTTACGCGACCTGTAATTGTTTTTTTAGCTAAGTACATAAAAGAGAGGGGTGAAAAATTCTCAATTTGCCAACACTCCATTATAAACCCTTTTTTTCCTTCTCCAAAAACCATGTGTCTTTCCTTGCTTCATGAGGTTCAAATTGCTTTAAACTCTTCTAACAAAGTCAAAACAGGATAAATCCCGTTTGGACTTTAAAACCAAAAAGAAAATTTTTTTTTTTTTTTTTTTTTTTTTTTTTTTTTTTATGACATTGTAGAAAATTTCTTTGTCGTCAAAATATGGCTAATCTGAAATCTGATTGAGAATTCTACAAAGATAGATATTATGACAGAAGCACTCGAGTAAAAGTTCAGGAAAGTACACTCATTACTTTTACTTTCTAGCATTTAGACTTTTACCTGTTTGCAGACATTAATGCACTCACATGAAATAATTTATAATATAGCTTATTTGCTTATAGCTGAGAAGTTGTAAAAAATTACCTTCATCAATGCTAGAAGGGGAGAAAAAACTATAGCTACTTGATTTGACTGCAAAACCGCTGGAAATTGGAAGCAAAGGGATTTTCCAGAACCTGTAGGCATTGATACAAAGACATCCTTCTTTCCTGTGGAAAAACAATTAAAAGAATAAAATTATCACAGTGTCTTGAGAATCAATAGTGGAGCATTGGAGAAAGTAAGGATGGTCCTTCACAACATAAAAATGATTTTATTATACCTCTTCCTTCCTGAGTGTAAATTTTATTATGTTGATGGTTCCCCTTTCAAATAAACATAAACATGTTGTAACAGAGGTATTAAATAACAGTACCTAAGTGAGACGAATGTTTGTCTAGTTCCATGATATATATATACAGCAGCATACATTTAAACGGCTCCACCAGAGCAAGATTCTCAATTCATCTTTTCTGGCTTGTTTTTCTGCATTCTTGTAGAATAGAAAGCAGTTAATGAAAAGAAAAAGAAAAAGAAAAAAAAATTGATGCGATTCATCATGTTCTACATTTGAATATAATACGACATGTATTAATTGTCCAATTTGAGTGGATGAAGTTATCTGGCTCTTTCATAGAACAGCATGGATTTCGTTTCTCTAAGGCTGTCCCAAGTAATTACCGACTGCTAAGAGTTCTTGGATCAAACATGCACTTTTGGATGGATGCTTGCTGCATCAGTACTATGTTATGTTCAACAATCAATGGATGCAGTCCTGTCTGAGTGATATATTGTTGTGCAATAGACCCATTTCGATTAGAACTTCAGTAAAGAGGCCCTTCGACTACTGAGGTCCAAAGCCCAACTATGCCGTCCCTAATGTAGGGAAAAAAGTGAGAAGTTACTTCCGCATAAAACAGATAACTATACTTACTCTGAATGATAGCTTCGATAGCCTTTTTCTGTAGATCACTTTTGAAATTATCGTGCCCAAAATTCTCACGCAGTTTACGTAAAAGATCAACCTTGATGAATTTATCCATTTTGATTATCTGTGACCAATGGAGCTGATGCTGGAGAATCAGGGCATTAAGCTACTTGCGGCGGACGTTGCTTGCATCAACTAAGAAAAAACTGCAATAGCTAGCTGGGGAGCTCATGCTACAAACTTAAAAAGCTTGATTTGCATTTATCAAAAACTAGAAGCTACTGAAGTACCAGAAAGGAACAGTGCAACGACAGATACAAGTTCCTCTGATGACACATTCACAATGGCAAAAAAGTATTATCAAGACCAGGTGAGAAGGAATGCGGGCACATTTTGACTGAATAGAAATGATCTGGATGTCATTAGTGATATTTACACAGTACTCATAGTGACCAAATCAGGAACAAATAAAATTTACTTTTAGTCTAATACTCCGCCAAAAACCAAAACAATGAAGCATTGCACAAATTGAACTTCTAGCGTAGGCAACGCTTCTAGGTTAGAAAGACTAAATCACCTTGTTGCCAGCTTGTAATAATATAACTTTATACTAGAGAACTTCAGAAAATGATCAATTTCAGTCGGATTGTGAGGTATTATCTAGATAATCATTTTTATTTTTTAAATACGTTGAGCAGCACATTTTTAAAAATCATCAATAAGGAATTTAACAGAGCAGACCACCACTGATTCATTCAAATAAACCGCTATTTAAATGCACGTTTCCGCTTACGCATTGCCAATCTCATTAAAATGCACTGAACATTTTGATCTATTGATAGTTACTTTTTCTCTTCAATAATCCCTGTCATCCAAAGCAAAAACTTAAAAAATCAATTAAATGGATAATTTATTCATTTTAAATTCAAATCCATCGCAATAATATTTGCTAAAGCTTCTAAAAAATTAAGAAGCATTAGGGATATGCCCGTGCGTTGGAATAATAAGTTGGTAAACATGTAAAAAATTTACCACGGCGAAATAGCGGGATTTTTAAATATGCGGGGTTGCATGCCTCTTGCCGTCCGCGAATAAACACATTTTTGTTTCAACTTCATTTTAGAATTAAATGGAAAGGGTTCGGCGGAGACTGAATAAAATTTCTGTGTTAGATATGTGTCTAATCCTTTTTTGACATCTGAACTATCTTGCATCGACTCTAAGTCTCCTTTTTTCTTTTTTTTTTTTTAAAAAAAATGTGGCTTAATCCCTCAAAGATTGGATCTTTTCGATGGGAGTAATATAAAATGAATCATTTGGAATAAAATCGGGGAGTGTTTTAAAGTTTTTACCGTGCTACACTGTAACACACATTTTTAACCACCGTAACTGTGACCTACTGAAGAAATGAAACGTGCCCGGAGACTAGAGATCCTTCGAACGAAAGAAATTCTGCCCCCTTCCCTAAGATGAAGTCTTTGTTTCATGGAGGGTTTTTTTTCTCTTTCCAAAAAATTCAGAATAATTGCGAGAGCAAGTACGACAAATGAGTAAAGTACTTGGAACTCAAAGTGAAATCCCCCACTATTTCTTCCTGTCTATTAGTGGATGTTGTATCGTGTCTATCACATCGATTCTAAGGTGAAGTTCAGCAAGATTGGAATGCATGGTGACACGATCATCAAATGGCGACAATCAGGTCATTACTTCGTAATTTTGAAGGCCGTCATGCGAGTGTGAAAAAAGAAAATAGATTTGGCCACGACTCAAAATCGACGGAGATGATGCTACTTAATACTGCCCGATGAAACTGCATCGAAGAGGGGTTGCTTTGATGAAGTCATATTACGCATGAAGTTTATTTTAATAAAAACACGAAACAGTGCGGCCAGATTGATGATAAGAAATCCGAAATGAGAGGGAAAGATCAGAGATTTGTTTTTTTATTTCACTAAGTATGATTAATATTGCATCTTCCCTTCCTATTTTAAAATGAAGTTCGGAAATATAGTAGAACGTAATAAGGAGTAAAGGTCTTACTTTAACGAAATTGAGAAAGCATGCTTGAAGCATTTTCTGAACTAGAAATCTAGGAACATACAGAAGACGAATACAAGCGAGATAAATTTCAAAGTTTTTAACTTACAAAAAATGAGCCGGGAAAGGTAGGTTTGGCAAGAGGGGGGGGGGCATTAATTTTCTCAAAAAAAATCATGGAACCCTTTTTAAGTTTTTTAATATTTATTATAGGTCCGGCAACACCGCTCAAACCTTTGAGTGAAACGTCATTGGCGCGTCGGTCGTGGCCTTGCGGGAAGGGGGATCAGCTGATCGGGCATGAATGTAAATAATGTGATTTTCCAGACGCAACGACTGCGTCTTTCGGCGGAATTCTTTCCGTTCTCGAATAGTTTTACGAATAATTTTGTTGAGATATTAGGACATTTCATTACAGTACACTTAAGTTCACAATATCCCGTCCGAATAATATTTTTCAGTGCGTTTCGAAGTGTCATTGCTTAAAAATCAAGTAGAAGAAGTAAGTACTCGGTGCTGATTCTTATGTGATTCAGCACTAAATCTTTCCTAAATATCGGTTTTTTATCTCCTAATTTTATCATAAAGACCAGTTTAATTGCATTTGTAATCTTTTTGATACCGAAGCAGTGAGATTTTCCAACTCTAGTTTTATGCACTTAACATTTCTTGCACTAGGTACAATGTGCTCATGACATTACATGCTTGTGTCATAGAAGGTGTTTACCTAAAATGCTTATCCCACAGAATAGCTTCTCATTGAACAAGAATTTAAATAATTCACTCTCCAGTAATCAAAGATATATCAACACAGCTAATTCTCTAATTGTTGGCAGAAGTTCACGATCCTAACTTGAAGTGATCAGAGCTCTCGAAAAAATGGAATCCAATTTGAGTCTTATGTAAGAAGTACTTTTTCCAATCATCAGCAAAGCCTTTAATGGTGGCAACTAGAGCCGTATGTTTCCTTTAAAGTATGATAAGTATCCAAGTAATGCTGTTAATAACTGGTCTTCGTCTGCGCAGCATTGCAGCAATCATGTGGCGACAGGTGTAAAACCTAACCTTGTAATTCCCTGCATTTACCTCCTCAGTTTAACTAGACTAAGTGGTCTCACCTATTGTCTTTTAATGTGAGTTAGGGAATAGTACTCTTTGAATGTTTGCATGATCAATGGCATATAATTATACTTACTGATTATTTGAATAAATTACATCTTTTCCGTACATCTTGAGGTTGTTGTATGTAATTTTCTGATCAATAACTGATCCTTCTTTTCCAGGTTTCAAGTACTTCAATATCAACAAAAATCGCATACCTGCATTCACGTATTCTGCTAGTCAGCGACTGAATTATAGCAGCTCGTCGCATGAGCTTCTGCTTAACTAATGGTCTGAAATTTTCTGCAAACTTCCATCACAGAGGTAACTATTACTCATCTTGGGCGATACTTTTTCAATTATAAATGGTTTTCACCCAATGGGAAAGGAAAAAATATCAGAGGCCTAAGTCCCAAGATTTGAAAATTCAAATGATTCCCTTCTTTATTTACTTGCTGTGATTTTGCCATTTTGTCTTGATCGCAACAGGTATGAAGACATCAAAGTCATCCAAATGTTGAGTTCTAATCATAAGCCCTTGAGCTTTGCTAGCCACAATTCATTCTCCATTGGTCTCCAAAATTCTGCTAATTCAATAACACAAAAGTCGAAGCATGATTATTGCACTTATGTACTTTTTGCTTTAAAATGAGGTCCAGGTCTTCATTATCATTCTTGATTATGCTCAAAATGTTTCTGTTTACACTCAATCCTCATCATGCATTAAAAGTTTAAGAGTGAAGCATGTGTCGGTAAGAAATAAGTCATGTAAATCGCTAATAAATGAGATATGAATTGCAAAAGTTGGTTTCGGCACTCGATTATTATTGAATTTTTTTCTGGGAGCTTTTAGCAGAGTATTAATGTTTCCACTTGCGAGAGGCTCAGCTGAGGTTCAATGGACTGAGTTTAGTAGAAACTCACCAAGTCGCATTTTAGATAAAACTTGAGTTTAGAGTGGTTTTGAATCCAACCAGTCCTAAATTTTCTCCTGTCAATAATTAGAACAAAATAGATTTTGTTCATTGGCTGATGCCCTATGAAAAGCGTGTTCATGAAAAATTTGAACTCCAATCAATCGGTTACTATTTTTAGTAAACCTTTTACAATTTTAAAGGAGCAATGATGTTCATATACCTAAATAAGAGAAGTCATTCAAACAATTATTGAGCTTAGAAGTGTCAAATTGAGTTTTCAATTCTCCAATGTGAATCTGTGTTGCTCATCTTCTTCTTCTTTTCTAGGTTTGTCTCCTCAATCATCTAGCAGTTGGTGATTTTAGAATATGACGGCAAAAATGAAACACAAGTAATCTAGTTCATCAATCCTTCACTCGGAGAATTTCTACATGCTCGATACAAAAATGGGTGAGGAGCCACCATCAAAAATGGGTGAAGAACTTCACATCCATGACCTACCCACCGAAATATTACAGTATATTTTTACTCTCCTCCCAGCTCAAGATTTATATTCTTCCGTCGTTGTAGTTTGTGAGAGGTGGAATTGTATCATCAATTCAAATTTTCTTCGCCTCAAAAAACTTCATCTACAGTTTCATGAAAGAGGTATCTTCGGATCCTTCCCAAATGAAAAACTGGATTACAACGAAATCAACATTAAAACCGTTAGGTACCTCCCATATCTTGAAAGTGCTGAAATTTATTGTAATGATGAATATCATCCTCCATTTGTCTGCCGATTGAATGATATGTTTCAGTATCTTAGTAAGTTTAGGTTTACTTTGAAGCGCTTGGTTTTAAATAACTTTAAACGCATGCCAAGAACTAATATTGGTCTTATAGATAAGTATTTTGAAAGTTTAGAACAACTGAGACTTGTCAATTGTTCAACTTTACGATCAGTTAATTATAATGATATTAGTTTACTTCAAAATCTGACAACTCTATACCTAGAGAATTGTTTTGACTTGACTAACAGTTTTCTAGGACATATAGGCATGGAATGTAAAAAATTAGCTGTTCTAGTCATATCTGGAGTTAGAGGCATAACAAATGCAGGATTGTTAAAATTCATTGAGCATAAAAAGACGAGTATTCAAAAGCTTGGTCTCTGTTGCTATGGCATCAGCGATGAAGGATTCCGAAGATTAAGCGAGTGCAGCCAATTGTCTGTTTTATACCTCGAAGAATGTCGGAAACTAACCTGGAGAGGCTTGGATGCCCTTAATAACTCTAAGTCTATTGAACTCATCGTAATCAATAGGAATGGGTCTGCAACGAACGAAATTTCTTATTGGTTAGAAATGTGTAGAAAATGGAGGAAGAAAAAAAACTTTGAGCTCATTGAAGAAGATGACCAAAGAATTCCGTACATAATTTTTGATTAAAATTTGTAGCAAATGACATTAGCAACCTGTCCAATTTTATCAACGATACTTTCCTTTTTATTCCAAATGGTGCTAGCAAGAGGTGTAACTTTTATTGTTTTAATTTTAGTAACAAAAATTTTGGTGTGATGAAATTTTGATCAGTTGTTTGAGTATTGTTTAAGTTTATTGGCACCAATTGATTTTTAAGGGTTAACCTTTTTCTCAACCGATTTTATTGTAGACTTTTCTTTCCTCCTTGATACTACAGCTGTCTGAAATGTACAGTGAAATCAGTATAAAGGAAAGTTTATCCCTTAAGAAATTTTGATCAATGTTCAGATTCTCATTAATTTTCATCTTTAGAAATCTTGTGATTCTATCTAGAAAATGAAGAAGTATTTTGACGTGGAACTTAAAGAACTCATCACACTGTGTCAGGAAATGGAAATCTGTGGTAATTTTTTCTGTTGACCCCTGTAGATACTTCTTCAACTCCTAGTTGAGTACTTGATTAAGTTGTTTAGTCATTTTTCTTAAAAAATATTTTTCAAGAAATGGAAAGGAAGTGTTCAACTAGTCACTGATTTGTGGTCGAGTTTCTGTTTTTGTTTAATATTTTTATCTAGTTGTTTTCGTGTATCCAAATGGTGGTCGATTAATTACCTGGACTGAGTTTTAAAGAAACGCATCAAACTGCATCAAGCTTGAACCCAGAAAAAGAGGTGTGAAGTTTTATCCCTTTATCAGACCCCATGTTAAGGACAATGTTTAATGTTTATTTCCACGTTTTATATATTTTTTCGACCTTGAGTTTTTGACAGGAGAAATTTTACGACTGTTAGAAATCAAAATTACTCTCATCTCAAATTTTTCCAAAACACGACATTGATGCAATTCTATTAAAGTCAAGCCAACCCTTACTCAATCAGTTATATTTTTTGTGACGATTCTGATTCAGCAAAAATACTTTAAATCCATGCTGTACAGTAAAGCAATGGATAAGGGTTTTTTATGAAGGTTATTGAAAAGACCATGCTCGCTTCAGCGGAGTACTAACATATTATGAATCTGGTTTAAGGTGATGCTGCTTCAATACAGCTCTGTAAGGTAATGCGGAGACCAAAGCTGTGTGGAGTTTAATGTCTCTGGTTCTCCTTATTACCTTATTTAGAAGACACCCGGAGATATTACATTTAAGCCTTTTTATTGTTTACCACTCAAGCACAAAAGCATGCAATCTTTTTATTTTTTTATGAGTTCATATCCAAGATTGGGTGGAAAATTTTTAGATCAAGCTGTTGTGCAGTGTAGCTACTACTCTTATTTTTAAAATATGAGAAAATTTACTTAAGAGTTTGTAAGAAAATTCATTTCTATCATAAGAGGTCTCCCAAGTAGAGGTTTTATCCTCACATTCATATTTTGGCAGTTAAAATGTATACTCGTGTGTAGCCAGACGGTCATATTCCTTTCATTGTTCAAATCTATTTTTTCCTTTCAGTTTCTGGCTGTGCCTTTTATTTCATTTGTTAAGTGTATTAATTGTTATGTAGTTTTTAATTGGTTGTATCATACAATATTATGAATGTTTTTATCCTTAGGTACATTCTTTCTCACTACCGTTGTAAAAATAAGTGGTCTCAATAAAGTGCAAACCTTATATATTGGAACAATGTACAGCTCGAATTTCATGACTTTCATCCCACTTCATTACAGTGAAACTGCAACAATGCTAATCTCAGTTTGCTACGCTACAGACCCCTTTTCATAGTTTCATGTTTGAAATGGAGAAATACTCAACACCACTTCTGGAAAACTCCCACAATTTCTATTCTTTGTGAGAAGAATATTCTGCAAAAATTCAAATTAATAGTTTTGGTTTGTTCTCTTTTAACAAAATAAAGTGGTAACGGAGTTTTTGAAACACTGCATAGGATATTTGCAATTTTGCAGTTACACTGTCAAAATTTAATGTTTTGGCACTATCCAATAGATAGTTCTTCTCGTCTCCACTGAGCAATTGTTTTTTTCCCTCTTCTTTTCAGAAGAACTTTATGATAAGACAACTTTAGAATATATTATACCAGTAAGCAATTCCACAATGTGTAGACACTTAAAATTAGTCCACCTTAATTTTTCGCCCGTCTCAGGCTGGCAGTCAGATTTGCAGCGGGAGAAACCATTCATCAAGGGTGAATCTACTGCGGAAGTAAACAGTGAACACTGAGATGTCGAAAAATTTTTCTAAATTACTGGTTTCACTTCAAAGTTTTGTACCGAAAGAGAGTCCCACGATCAGAGGCACACTTCAGCCGTTTTATTTTTTTCAAAGAATCAATTTTGTCAATCCTAAGTAGAATTAAACGTGCCAACGCAAAAATTTCATTTAGTTTTAGTCAAATCAAACGGTCAACTTGCTCGTTTGAACACTTTAGCTTTAATTCAGGTTTTACAGATGCGGTATTTTGGGAATAAGTAAACAGCTGAAATGTGCTTTGAGGCGTACTAGGATCCCTCATATGCCAAAACTTTGAAGTCAAACCAGTATTTCAGTATTTGTTCAAACTCTTGATATTTGCTCTCTCCTGATGCAGATTTCCTTTGAAGAGTTCAGTATTGTTGAAAAAATCAGAACATGTTTCTTTGAAAAAAAAATGTTCTGATGGGACATATTCACTCACTTTTTGAAAAATTGAACTTTTTGCGTTTGACTGACCATTTCCTTTTTATTTGAAGCCAGGATGAATAATGATTTTGAACATAATGTAATAAGAGATATTAAGAGAGATAAAAGCTAAATTCAGAAACTATACAGTACACCTAAGTGGNGGGGGGGGGGGGGGGGGGGGGTATTCTACTGCACCCCCTAAGAGATCAAGTAATTATTGCAGTCAATATTTTTTATTATCAAATATTGATATTCGAACTGAGGCTGAACAGTTTTTTTTCTACTAATATATCCAAGCACCGCCGGCGTGAGGCATTTAAATGTCGTAGAATTAACCAATCAGCCTGTCACAGCGAAGTTGACCAATTTGACTGTTTGTTCAAAAACTGTGGATAGTGAAATTTTAGCCCCTGAGTGAGTATACCCCCTCAGGTTGGTACACAGGGCGTTTTACGTCCTGCCTCCGTGACGTCACGATACCAATATGGCCGCATGAATGAAATTTAGAGAGTACGTTTTGGTTGGTCGGAAGCAGGGGAGCCGTGGTAGGTGTGTCATCTTTTTTATGAAATTAAAGTGACAGTATATTCAATAATGTGTTCGGAAAGTGTGAATTCGTGTTCCCACCACTCGGAGCTAGTGAATTTGCGTGTTTTTACGGTGCTAAATAATGTAGATAAGCAAAATGCGGAAGCTTGAGTGTTAGGGAAAGCAGGGGATCGACCTGCATGTTTAGATCCGATCTCGGCTGTATGGTGTTTTATCGCGTTTGTCCCGTTTAAAAGTGCTAATTCAAAATGTGGAATATGATGTGCGACGTTATGCCTACTATCAACGAGGACATTAACCAGCGGGGCTCTCAGTTCTCCGTTGATGACGCCAATTTCGAAGATCTAATGGTGACCATGCTCAAGGAGAGGGATAAAATGATGGATAGCTTACGCGAAACCCAGGATCGGTTGAGTGAAACTGAGCAGAAGCTCCAAAATGTCGTCAAGGAAAGAGATTCTCTCCAGCGTCAACTCACTGCTAACTTACCTCAGGTATGACCAAAGTTTACTTGTACTTAAACGTAAGGCTCACTACTTCGACTGTCAAGTCCACCGTCCAAACCCTGCTCTTCCTCTTATCAGTATGTTTTTATGAACAAGTTTTAGAAATATCCTCGTGCTTTTAAACAGCTGCACTAATTAAGTAGAAAAGCTCCGTTGGAAGATGAAGAGTTCAACACGAGAGACGCCTACTTTGAGTCCGCCGTCAGCCATGATTTCAGACAACGGTATCGCTCATGTCGTATCATTGTCTTACTTTTGAAGTCTGCATCTGATATTTAGCTCAAATATGATGAGGATGGCAGGCCTTGTTATTATACAAAGTATGGACGTCTCTCAGGTGGTCACTGTGAACCTACTCTCTCATAACCTCAATCAGCTGATCTGCATAAACATTTAAGACTGATAAGAGCATTAGCCTGATGTTTCTTTTGATCAGTGGATGTACTTAATCGAGTAATGCTTTTGATTAGCATTCCAGACATGATAGGTTCCTCTGCTGCAAGGTTGTTGATGTAATAGAAAGTTTGATTTTTGCCTAGGTTTGACATCAGTCCTATTGATTAGTTTTCTTTTCTGAAGTCAATGAGACTTGATAATAATCATCTTGAAGTTAGGCGGGCCTTTTAGCTATATCATTATTGCTTAGCTAAGCCGATAAGTGCTGAATGCGTGTCTTAAAGCTTTGGTGTGTCAGTCATTAGTTATCGATAATAATAGGCCAGAGAGATTAGACTTCTTCACATTCCAAATGTCAACTCGGTAAATGGTTGAAGTAAAACAAAAGTTCTTCCTAGGTACATCAATTTTGAGCTTTAAATGATGTTTTGACAAGAGGACGTACAGTTAAAAATGTTTAATGTGAAGAGTTTTCTTCTATAGTTACCCATCTGAATGTGCTTTGTTGCGACAGGATTGTTGGTTTTCAATTTCTAGTCTCTGAAAATTGTTCATATCTACACTGCTGTCTAAAACTCATGTAAATAGACCAAATATCATGTCTGAATTGTGTATAATTTCATGTGTCACCTGCTGCAAAGTGCGGTCGAGGTGGACACAGGTAATCAATGCCCTTTCATGAAGGAAAAAAAGCTTTAAGAATTATAATTTGTTTTAAAGGCATTGTGTCTGTTTACATGCTTCATCGCTGTATTTGGTTCAAATTAGGAGAAGTATTGGATAATTTTGAGGTTTTTTTCATAGAATAAGCTGAATGCTCCATTTCCATGTTTTTTCTCTAAATTTTCTGAGGGTTGACTTTTCTTGTCCCTTCATTCCAATTTATATCGCCATCAGTAAAGAAGCTTCTATCCGAAGACCTCTCTAATATTAGGAGTTTGGCCTGTAGGGATTGGTAAGGGAATGGTTAAATAACAGGTCAGGGATTGGCTCAAGCTGGTTTACAAGCAGATGGGATTAGCCCTTGAGGGCTAGTTTAAAAAAAAAAATTGGACTAGGTACATTTTGTAATTTGGAACCACAATTTCTGGCTCGGTTTAAGAACAAATTATGTACCAATAATTTCTTTAGGCACAGAAGCGCTTTTAAGAATGAGCCAAAGATTGTAATTTCGAAAGGATTACTTTTGAAGTCAGCACAAGAATATGTAAAAAAATTTAGCTATGTGTTAAGGGGTTTTTTTTTTATCCATAGAACGCGATGGATCGGGATCTTTGCGTTTCAGGCCGGCTCTGAACCGGCCTAACTGCGGTCTCAACCCACCTCGGAAGAGCAGTCCAAGTGTTCCATTGGAATGGATGGAATGCACTGGAACATGCCAGTGGAACGGGATAAGAAAGTGATGCAATCTGTAGCGATCCTCTGCGGTTCGGATAATAAAAAAAGCCCTTTAGACTCACATGCACTTTTTTTCTTTTTTGTAAATAAAAAGTGCAAGTGAGCCCGAAATAGAAACACAGCTGAAAATTTTATCATAGTTCCTAATCGACCAATTAAGTTCACTTGTCTCTACATTTGTGGGACTTGGCCATTGTGGTACCTACTTTACAGGGCTGGCGCTCTTTTGTCAATTTTTTACACTCGCAATTTTATGGACCATGCCATGATGCGTGTGCAAAGAGATAGTTAGGCCTCTAAACTATTATACTCAGATGCCCCTATAAAAACTGAGTTTTCAGGCCAATGTAGCTACTAAAATTTTAGGGGGAAAACAGAAAACTGGGGAAGGTTGTCTAGAACTATCTCGTTTTTTCATTTTTTGTGAGTTTCCCCATTTTGAGGGACATTAAAAGAATCAGTACCTAGTTTGCACGATCTAGCTTGGTTTCTTTCCCTACATCTTTCCTTCTTACTTCACCTTCATCCAATATCTATCATCAAACTTCTGGATGAATTAGTGCCCTTTTCTGCCGTGTGTGGAAGAACGCCGTATGAACCTTCAGGCGTTGCCAAATTTTCTTTGATAAAACACGAATTCCCTGGTAAACTTGTTTTCTTCCAAATCTTAAAACTCATTTCCTTCTTACTTTTTCTTCCAATTTTTCACAGAATTCTGTTTGTATTTTTATCTAAAGTTCCTGAAAATTTCAAAGAAAAATATTCACATTTTCCCTCGAAAATAAACATTTATCAAAGGAAATTTGGCAACTCTCGAATGTTCTTACAGCGTTCTTCCTCAGCACGGCAGTATTGCACTCGTTGGTATTTAGTAGTAAAAGTTTTCACCAGCGGACCGATTATTGAAACTGGTAGACAAAGCGATAGACAAAGAAGACATAGTAAGTATACAGCGATCCTATTGGTTGACATGGTTGGTTCTTATAGACTAAGGAAAAAATGATGGACTAACTGTCGGGTTTTTGGTGGGTTGCCGTTAGTTAGTCCATTACCTACCTCCTATGTCCATTGCCATCACCTGCTTCCACCAATAGGATCCCTCCGAATCCCTTCTGTCGTCTTTGTCTATAGCTTTGTCTATCAGTTTCAATAATCGCCCCGCAGGAGTGTCAGGCTTTAACTTTAACTATATATGAGCTCATACTGAAATACGTTAGAGAAGTGAGTATATTCCTGGCAGTTGGTATACTGAAATAACTTTGTCTCCCTCTCTGCAGTTTCTCTTCATGAAAACAATGATGAGCCATGAATTCTGAAACGATGTCCTTTAATGGATATTTGTGAGGCTTCGTCCCTTTTTAAACCGTTTACACGTGGCCATCAGTGATGTCTATATTTATTGCATGTCAAATGCTTGCTAACCAGCCAAGGAAGCAACTACAACCATGTGACTAGTTATACAATGGACTAACTACCTCATAAGAGGGGCTTGGAGGACAAGGCGCAAAAGTGCATAAAATTCCAAGCTTCAAGCATCAAAAAGTCAGTTGGTACTTTCTTCCCGCCGTAAAGATCCATGTAATTTCGAAACTTCGAACACGTATTTCTCGAAATAGCAAAAACTGGACTTAAGTGTGCGCCTTGTCCTCCAAGCTTCTCATATGAGCTCCATATCACTGTGTCAGGCTGAAGAGCCTTTTTTCAGTGCAGCAAAAAAAGCGATTAGGGGTCCTAGACGTCGGTTTCCAGTTTTCGAGAGTTCCCGCTTTTAAAAACTCTAAGGAGCTTTGGATTCAAATTTTACGTCATAATTTTCATTATTATGTCATACGCGTTTGAAATTAATCATCTGTGACCGAAGGTATTCAAAATCGCTGGAAAGATCGCGTATTTGCTGCGATATTCGGGTGACTACACGTATAATTTCTTAAATCTACAAAATCGCTGGAAAAATGGCATGTTATTTTAATGTTCACGAAAATGTGCATGGATGAGTTTTATGAATCAATACTGGTCAAAGCAAAGACCAAATGCGAAATCATCCGAACTCCGGAGTATTTATGCGGTATCAACACAAAAATGAAGGAATATCAGTTACTTCTGTAATGACAGAATAAACCATGAAAGGCGATAAGGCAACGTCTGATCTAGTTAGGCTAATTGGACTACATTTTGCAATTAGGTGGTATGAATTCTAGCCCGGTTTAAAAACAACGTATGTGCCATTAGTTTCCCTATGCACACAAGTGTTTTTTCAGATGAGCCAGGATTTACAGTTCCAAATTGCAAAATGCAGTCTAATTCTGGTTAAATCGTCGTATTGGACTACATTTTGCAATGGGCTCCTAGACAGGTCTGAAGTAGGAGAAAACCCACGTGTTTTCTCTTCAAAATGTTTCAAAGAAAACAATCACATAACGGGAAGTTTTGAAATCAACTCCTGAACGAGATTTTAACATGTCTTGAACACAGATCAAAAATGGAAGTTCGATTATTCGAATGACGTAAATGACTTCATTTGTATTTTTGCCATTTCATTAATGTTGATAGAAAATACTTATACTTATCTTGTTGGCGAGTCGATTTTCAGACTTGTTGTCGTGTGATTCGTTTTGATCGATTTTCGATTCGAAGCAAAACACGCAGCGTTGCGCTTTAATTCATACCTTGTCCAGAAGCCCATCAGGAACTTAAACTGGCTCAGTTCAGAAACGACGTACGTAGCATCAGTTTCCGTATGCATTTAAGTGTTTTTAGTGGATGAGCCGGAAATTGTAGTTCCTAATTGCAACATGTAGTCCAATTGGTCGTATGTCACGCATCTCGGGCGAAGAAAAACGCCCAACTGAACTTGACATTAGCATCAGTTTCCGTATGCATTTAAGTGTTTTTAGTGGATGAGCCGGAAATTGTAGTTCCTAATTGCAACATGTAGTCCAATTGGTCGTATGTCACGCATCTCGGGCGAAGAAAAACGCCCAACTGAACTTGACATTAAAGAACTGGCATGCACAAGTACAACCGCTCTAAGAATACGCGCCTCTCCGATCGATGGATAAATCGCTCAACGTGGTCGCACCTGAACGCATTTCACTTGTCTCGTGAACTCTGCCCTTCAACGAAGAGCAAAAACTATTTTAAACCCAATTAAAACGAAACGTTAATTATGCCGTACTCGACACCGCTTTCCCAAA